TACGAAAAATGGCGGGTAAGGATCTTGATTCCAGCAAGGAATCAAGCTCCTTACCCGCTGGGTAAGCGTTCTGAATCCGTATTTTTCGATCGCAGTAGGCGCGAATGACAATGAAATTCATCGCTGACTCGGGGCAGTTCACGAAAATAACTGTTTTGCGATAGGTAATGTTTACGAGTGGGTGCGAAAGTTCCGTCGTTCCACTTTGGAACAAACATTGCTTCTTGCAATACAGTTCTCTTCGTAAACTTCCCTGGGTCTGCGATGAATTTCATTTCCATTTACGCCTGCTGTGACCAAAAAAATGGATTCAGAACGCAACTCTTCCTTGGTGCAATCAAGATCCTTAGCCGCCATTTTTCGTAAGTGTGGGGGGCACACGAGATGGTAGCAAAATCACCGCATTCATGGCACTGACAATCAAACAAGCAGTACTTGTGCGAATTACGTTGATTGTTATATTTCCTACGTTACAATCACAGATGTCCTGTTACTTTTTGACTTCCCTTTTTAACTCACAATCTAAGTATTTTCATATTTTGATAGTCTGCTTTTTGAGATTGCGTCAGTCTCATTAAATTTATTGATTGCACGATGGACGCTTTGTTTTTATGGGGCATGGGAGTCACAGTTCCATTTCTTCCCAGTGCTCGTGGTAGAAAGCAAAAATTGTCTCGGTCACGCGGATTATGGAAGGTGAGGGTAAGGCTGGAAAAGGGGAATAATTAAAGGTCAAAATGCCTGCTGCCAAAATCGTTTCGAAGGAACTGGATTAGCCTTGTAAGAATCTGGATCTAGCACCACTTCTCAGTTGCTGAGATTTATATACTGAACAAACTTCCACAAGCTCATATCATGTGGCATCCGGCGCGCTACAGAGATACGCTTACTTGGTTCCTTTGACTTGGAAATGACATGAGTAAGTTTGAGAGATGGTCTTCTTCCAATCTGCAGCAGCTTGACAGCGCCTTCATCTCAAATTAGGGTGGTAGTGGCAAGCGACCTTCTCGAGTTCAACCCATATTAACTTTGCGATGGTCAGAATTTACAATGAACGAATTCCATCAATGAAAGATCTTTAACTCACCCGCATCAACAGACGTACTGGTACACACTTTTTGCTTGGTCACAATCTCCGAAGACGTATAAATACGTCGCACAGCGCCCGGCCCACATCACCAGGCACGTATTGGTACGCAGTATTCTTTGAGCGACCATATCTCAGGAACCGCTCAAGCTAGACTGAAGAAAAAAACCTGTGCACAGTACACAGTCTCCTCTTGTTTTTTTTTTTTGTAAAGTCTCTCTCATCGCGTCTGGGAGACACGAGAGCCAAAAAAAAAGACCAATCACTTGCGTCTATACAAATGTCGAGCGTTGGTAGACGAATCGGAGAGAAAATGTATTGGGTCTCTGGTTTAGTCTGGTTTCGCTTAAATAGATGCAGACACTGTCTGTCCGGAGTGCAAAATTTTTTATTTTAAATTATGTTTTCTATTTTACTCAAGCACACACCCACACAAGGTTAGACTTCAACTTTTCTCAGTGCCAAAAAAATCCGAAAACCTTTCCTGAGGATTATCATTTTTTCCTAACTCAACTTGCAGGTAATAATTGCACTTCCCAAAGGTTAAATTTGTTTATACTTATGGAGAAAAACGATCAGAAACTGTTTCAGGCGCAGAGATGTGGATATGTACATATTGTACAGTACTTATTTGCCTAATGGTTGAGTGATCTGGAGATCTGCTCCCAGGCCCAATGTTTGGTTCATAGACTGATGCTGGAACTTTCTATTCTTTCGGGTTCTGGTTCTGAGACATTTCCCATTAGAAGTGCCTCTCGGGAAAACATGAATTCCAGTGACAAGAGTTCAAATAAATGTTTCATTGCTTCTGCCGGTCGAGTCATTCACATGCTGCAGTCGCACGGTGATGTGGGACGGATAAGGAGACTTCGTGCCCGTGAAAACAAACTAACTGGAACGAATCGAGGATGATGCGGATGGGTTGAAGAGGTTTATATACTGTATATGTAATGCTTCCCTTTCAAATACATGTACTTCACATTCACTGGTTTTGCACCACCGTGTAGAGTATATAGAGTTCTACTACACTCATGAATTTTCAGAAAAAAATTATAAGCTATTCGTGGGCAACTGAAATTTCCGGCCTTCCCTTCGCCCGTGTGTCGTATGAACAATTCAAGAGTACACTTAACTGCACCCTTTGCAACATTTATTGAAATTGATAATTTCAATGCTTCACCACCCCATATGAATGAAACTCCTTACCGAGAAACTCTGGCTTGCGATCCTACAGACAACGTCGCAACCAGGAATTCCTATCTGCGCTGGTAATCATATTCCCCCCCCCCCCCCAATAATAAAACTGAATGGTAATGAAACATCCCTGAGTACACCTATGCCAACATATTTTCTATTTCTACCAGGTAAATATCCTCAAGAAGTCGTGTTTAGGTGTCCTTGTGTGCTCCCTCCGGTGTCAGACTGAGACAGGATCCAAGGTGCATCTACGACCTGCTATATGCGACAAAGCAAGGAAGAAGCAGCAGGGTGAGCTCCCAGTACGATAACGTCTTGTGCAGTGTGTACTTCTTTTCGGTATACAAAACCAGTTCGCGATTTGCAGGAAAGCCCTGTCCGAACAAAGGATGCCCGGGCCGATTGGAAATCCTCGCTTGCAGAGGTCACTGTGGATATCCTGTCACGCATTTCTGGCGACATGCTGACAATGCTATTTTCTTCCAGGTAGGCAATAAATCTGAGAATTTAACGAGCTTTGGCGACACAATTATTATACTGTTCCCTCTATCAGGCAAAGGGATCACACGATCACGAAAGACCAGAACCGAAGGCAACAGCTGATGTGCGAAGAACCTATCACGCTGGAGGCAGGCGGAGAGGCAAGTCGGTCAATCTGGGTAATTCCTCAATCTCCACGCCAACAGCACAGCCAGTATCGAACCTGAAGGCAAGCGATCTTGACATCTTAAACAATTCTGTGGCTCTTATTCAATTTCAAGACTTCACGACTTGTATTCCAGATTGAGTATCGATGGTCAGAAGACTCTCAAGAATTGGATCTCATGCCAGTTATGGAACAAGAAACACTGGAAGCTTTCAAAGGTCAGTATCCGCTTTTCCAAGAATATGGAAGCAAAATTCCGTCCACAATGGTAGAATATTTAGCAGTGCTGAACAACACAAACAAGAGGCAAGAAAAGAGCAAACCAGAATGCTTCATTTCCAAAAAAAAATACAAATTGTGGTATTCCTAACTAGTACCACAGAGAAAGGAATCAAGACACTTCTTTAAATGAGAGAAATTCATCATCATAAATTTAAATATGCCACAAATTGTACTGAAATTGAAATAATGCAAAGATCCCAGTCAGCTTGGCTTTCCAGGAGATATCCATCACATTCAGTCCAATCTGGGAAATACTGGTCTTTGAAGTATGAGGGAATTCTTCATTCTCCTTCACTTCTTAAAGGAATGATGTTTTGATTGATTCCTTAGCATTGTTATGTGAAAAAACCATTTGACATGAGTAGGCTTCCATAGGTGATTGATGCAATCATTTTCTTNTCAAGACACTTCTTTAAATGAGAGAAATTCATCATCATAAATTTAAATATGCCACAAATTGTACTGAAATTGAAATAATGCAAAGATCCCAGTCAGCTTGGCTTTCCAGGAGATATCCATCACATTCAGTCCAATCTGGGAAATACTGGTCTTTGAAGTATGAGGGAATTCTTCATTCTCCTTCACTTCTTAAAGGAATGATGTTTTGATTGATTCCTTAGCATTGTTATGTGAAAAAACCATTTGACATGAGTAGGCTTCCATAGGTGATTGATGCAATCATTTTCTTCCAGTCCAGGGACACATCTTGTAATTTTTTAACAGTACCAACATTAACTGAAGAAAAAGAAGCTACCAGAATTAAGCTTCCAAGGATGTATGGATCTGCTTCACAAAACTACTCCTGCCCTATTATAGCCACTCATGGTTCATCCTTTACTCAGAGAAAGACCTAATAATGATCCTTATGATGGCAAACATGAAGTAGAAAGAGGGCTCAGGCAATTGGTTGAGGGGTTTGTGAGCATCTATGTCCATGAGTGCAAAATCTAGTCATATATCTACTTCAGAACATAAAAAATCTAAGACTAGGCAAAAATATAAAATTTATCTGGCTCCAGACAACTGTTTAGGCCTCTGAACCCCAATGTAAAGGTACTTTGGTATTTGAAAGTAATTGCATGACTGCCCAAATGAATAACATTTTGAATGTCAGTTTGCATTCACTTGCAGGTAGCACATGCTCATGCCCCCCCTTTGAATGCAGCAGTGGCTGCACAGCAGGAGAGGAGCGACCATCTGTCATTGAATGGGCAGGATCAACTCACTCCCTGGGTGGAACTTCACTTGAGCCCCAAACATGGGACTGGAATATGGAAGCACCTAATCAGACAGATACATATTACTCTAGTGGCTATGAGAGCGTCATGGATGCACCCCAACCCTTCCTACCTGTCATTGATCAAGAAGGAACGGAAAGCAGTCACCCAATGTGTGGTAGTGGGGCTTATGAAGAAGCCTGGGATCAATGGAATCCTCCCGATCCATCCTACTTACAGATCAATGATTCTCAACTTTATAATTTCATGCCACCAACAAGTGATCTCACACCCCCTTTCACTCTTCTGAGTGCACAATCACCAGATGATGAAAGCCTGAACTCAATGCGATATGTTTCAACATTCACCATATCACAAAGTTCAGATTTCCCAGAATGTGGTGAATATCAAATGGAGCCAAAGCCACCTCAATTGGTACAATGATTAGAAAAAAAAACCCCATAAAAGCTGGTCTCCTGAGTTCATCTTATTGTACGCTTAACATATGTGAATCAATCTGTATTTGCAAAACTAGATGGAGTTTTTCATTTTTCAAGTTCAAATGAGATCATCACAGGTACAAACTTGCAGCAAATGCAATGTCTTTCTTCAGCATTTTACCTCCCTCCAAGAATTTTTGCTCTAGTTCTGCACTTCCAATGGCTTTTGCAGCCTGGCACATCTGACGAAGGAGTTCCTCCAACCGTTTCATACTTCGTATTATGCTTCCCTCAAATATGTCAGTCATGGCACACACTTTAGAAAAGTTAGCACCTTTGCACCAGGCATAAACAACATCCATGAGGTAGGGCTTGAATTTCTTCACATACTCCTCTTCATCCATAGGAATTTTGCATTCTACAGTCACCCTGACAATTTTTTTAGCCAAGTCTTGCATTTTCCTCAGAGGAGCAGTCAATTCCTCACTAAGCTTAGGATATTCCTTTGCAGTTTCATCACACACCATGCAGCTGAGGAGAGCAACTGCTTTTGCAGCATCTAATTCATTGAATGCACCTTCAAACATCATCTCTGTCAGCAGGAGTTCATCAGAAGAACTAAGCTCACAAGCCACACGCCCCTTCAGTTGTATTACGTCAGCATCAGTGCAATATCCCAACCTTCTCAATACCCTCTTCCTGTTCTTGAGTTCATCTAGATGCAGGAGTGATCGTGCTTCACGGAGTTCAACCTTGGCTTTAATGAGTTCTTTCCCAATGGCATCTTTCTGAAGGAACTTGGAATATATATCAGTCATGGCAGGGTCTTTCTGAATAGGATGCTGATATAACCTCTCCTCAAATATTCTGATGTTCTTGACTAGATCCTCAAATTTCTTGTCCTTTATCTTCATATGTACAATTGGATCCAAAAGGGGCACTTGACCAGAGAAGTGCTTCTCTACTTGTTCTAGAGCTGTAACTACTTGATTTTTCTCTTGCTGTGAGTAAACTTTTGACGGAACATTGACACGCACTACAGAAACTGCCATGAGAGATGCACCTGGTAGAACTATGATGTATCCCTGCCTCTCTTGCCCTGCAGCAGGAGCTTTCAGATCATCCAGCTTCAGACGCCCTTCTGTCTTCGCCTCAACTGGAGCTGCTCTAATTAGAACAGTCAAGGTCACAGTCGTACCAGTTAACTCAGACTTCACCTCACGATCCAACAGAACACACCAACCAAATTTTTTATCCATGGTGACCAATCTTCCTGGTTGCAAAAATGGGACTAGGTATTCTGGCTTTGTGACATACTCCTGGTAAGCCTTAGAAAGGCCATCTAGTGTCAAACGTAGGGAATGGTAGGTTCGAACATCTTCTTCTCTAGGAACAATGATACTTTCATGTGCCTGGGTCAGGGTCTTCACTTTATTGCATAGGTCAGGTATGGCAGTATAGTTTTGGAATTGGAAAAAGCTTCTCTCTAACATATACTCAGGATTGATTTCTTCCACCCGCAATAGATTGAGCACCATGTTGTAAGTCAAATGAAATGATGATACTAACTTGTCTGCTTTACCATAGAGAAGGCTCTTGCTGATGGCAGCTGGCATTCTCTCATCTACCATCAGAATCACAATCCCCTTTTCATCTAGTCCTCTTCTCCCAGCTCGTCCTGACATCTGAATGTACTCCCCTGAATTGAGCCATCTGTTCTCAACTCCATCATACTTCCTAGCAGCAGTGAATAAGACTGTCCTTGCTGGCATGTTCAACCCCATAGCAAATGTCTCAGTTGCAAATAAGGCTTTGATAAGACCTTCTGAGAAAAGAATCTCAACAGTCTCTTTCAGTATAGGTAAGAGCCCTCCATGATGAATCCCAATCCCTCTTCTCAACAGTGGAAGAACATTATCAACTTGAGGGAGTTGTCTGTCTTCTTCAGTGAGCACATTCATTGCATTCTGAAACACTTCATCCACCAATTTCTTCTCCCGCTCACTATTCAGATCCATTTTTGCTGCCTGCACAGCATATGCTTCACATTCTTTCCGGCTAAAACTAAAGACAATCACAGGAGCCAGATTCCTTTCCATGATCATTTTGATGATGCGATAGCAGGAACCTGCATTCTCAACAATATTAGTTCGTTTTACTCGTCGATAATCTGGATCACTCGGCTCTTCCAAGCTTGACATGGCCTTGTTGAACAGCTCCTCTTTGAAATTTCCATCAGCATCCACAACTAAATGCAATCCACTGCCACCAACAGGAAATACATAATGCTGAAGAGGAACAGGACGATTGTCTGTATACACAACATGACAGGGTTGATTATGCAGATGACAAATCCATTCTGCAAACTGTTGAGCATTTGGGATTGTGGCTGACAAGAAGACATAGTGGACATTATCTGGAAGTAAAACAATAGTTTCTTCCCATACATATCCACGATCTTTGTCTCTCATATAGTGGATCTCATCAAAGATCACCCAACCAACTTCACGCATAACTTCAGAACCACGATACAGCATACTCCTGAGTATTTCAGTGGTCATTATCAGGCAGCTGGCATTTGGGCTAATAGTCACATCACCAGTGATCAGTCCCACATCTTTGAATTCTTCATAAAATTCCCGATACTTCTGATTGCTCAGAGCTTTGATTGGAGTAGTGTAGATGACACGTTGCTTGTTCTTCAAAGAAAGGGCAACTGCATATTCTGCTACAACTGTTTTGCCAGCACTAGTATGAGCAGAAACAAGAACACTCTGTCCATTCTCCAGACAGAGAATGGCTTGCCGTTGAAATGGGTCAAGAACAAAAGAATATTCTTTGACAGGTTTTCCTACACATGGTTTCAAAGGTACAACCCCAAGTTCCCTAGGAACAGCAATTTCATGAAGGCATCCTTCTACTGATTCAAATTTATGCCGGTCTATCTGCTTGTCAAAGGTGAACAAAGCACTGTCTTGAAAATCTGTAGGATGAGAAATGGAATCCTCTCTTGGCTTCTTTGGCTGACTTTCAGGGTCATTTTCTTTAGCCTGGGGGAAAAAATAAAAGCACATTCTGGTATAACAAATTTACTTGCATGCAGTCATCTGTATCACAGCTTAAAATGTCAGTCATCACAAATGAAACTAAAATTACATTCACATCTTACAAATTCTTGTATCATTGTTAAAAACTTTAAAAACACTGAGCAACTCTCAGAACAGTTTAGTGGTTTTTCAAATTTTATACTTCAGTCTCATCCTTTCAACAACTGAATATACTTTGCTTCCTTATCTCTGGCTCAAGATGCTCCCATGATTGATGATGAAAAACTCATCCAAGGCAAGAATGGCAGGCCTGGCCATTAGGAACAGGATCTAGGTAACAATGCTAACCTTGTTTGTGACATGCACACAGCCTCTACCATACCTTCATACATTAGCAATAGTGAAGATTGCTTAGTTTTGCTCTCATTTTCCAAACATTGGTATTGAGTTATTGGTGCAACTACACCAGATTATATTAATTCCCTACAGATACATACAGTCTGAAAAAGAACAAGGGCTGTCTTCAGTTTAGACTCGAAATACACGAACGTCAGGTACTTCTTGGATGCAGAAGTGATTACAATACAGAGGCTTATCTTTGACTGAGCAAGGCTTACTTTACTTACCTTACCTTACTACACCACAATGGTGTATATTATTAAAACTGAAATTAAACTGCTCACCAAAACGAAAATTCTTTTTCAATAAACCTTTCTACATACTTCCTTTACAATCCTTTACGCCAACTTCCCGCAGGGAAATACTAACAGTCGGTTACGAACCATTAGCCTATGAAACGTTTAATGGAGCTCAACTGCTCGAATAGCCTACCGTTAGGGATAAGCCCTTGGGGATAATGAGGAAATAACTCACGTGTTCTCGCTTCAAATTTGAAGGTAACACCTGACTAACGTGATTTTGTTCGTCAGGAACGTGTTTGTCGTCATTTTGGTGTTCCTCGTCGTTGAAAATATCGAATAACTCTGCGGAACCGAAGGACGCCATATTTGATCTGATGTTGCAGGAGTGTTGCGTGGGTAATTCGTCTGAATATGAGTAGGCTTACTGGTTTTCTGGATGTACATTATTTTAATTAATTTTAAATGCAGTTGAAATTATGCTTGCTTTATTAATATGCAATAACATAATTTTAAATATCAATATATCCTCCAATAGTGACGCTTCATGTTCAGGACAGCATGACCTCGATCTGGAGAACATTACGTCATTTTGACGTCAAGCGCATGTTGCGTAAAACTCTCTGCCTTGCATGCGGCTAGATCATGGAAACCAAACGACCTTGCGCGAGACTTCCAGGGCAGGCTTTGCACCGAGTAGAGTTCTATGAATGACTTGATTCGCTTTGGTGAATGTCATGTAGCTGGCAAAAGCCTAGTTACGATGATGGCCATACAGGCTATGCTATGATAGGTGTACGTAGACTTAACTCCATGCCTCTAACTAGTAGGTTAAGCTCAGGCTTGAGTAGCCACACCAGTTTCTAAGCCTAGTCCTTTAGGTTATGCATATTTAGTTTCTCATCCGTTCAGTCGACTCAGACAATGTGCGGGAAAATCCGTTGGCGTAGGATCTAATGTTAGATGGGAGTTGCAATCATCTGAAGAAGTCTTAGACTCGAACGAAAAGAACTATGATTAACTCAGGCTTTGGCCGCGAAAGCCTATCAGTTGTGTTCAATAGTTTGATTCTGGCATACCCTAGGCCTAATCATTCAATCAATCGTTTTTGGTGCTACAATAGCCTCTGGCTATAGTGTTTTCATTATGATTTCACTCACCCTTGTAATGCAACCGAATTCGTTTAAATAAGGTGTCTACTGACACCACCAGAACTAACGTTTCCTACGGCCGCTATACTCACAGTACCTTAGTACTCACAGTAACTGTTCCTGGAGTCAGTTACTAGCACCAGTACCCTTATTCTTGAAGATTTGATTTTTTCTTGGAGAAAGCAAATAAAGGGAGTGGTTGGGAGATGTGGATGTAAGTGAATTGGTAGTCTGTTGATATCCTCCCACAAAAATATGTCTTCAAAAGGAGTGAGACCTTCTTCATATACATCATGACTCAACCTTGACATAGGACATCATGATGTTGGGCAAAAGTGCCTTTTGACATCCCTATGAAGACTTTCAACCATGTGGAGGGGTGTGAACTTATGCCAAAATCCTGGAAATATGAGCTCATTTTCGTTCTTTCTGTGGAATTTTTATGGCTTCAGTTGTATTCCTTGTTACATCCTGGGCATCTGCTTCTCATGCACTTCTTTAAGTTCTGTATAGCATTCAGACCTGTCACAAATGTAGTTGAATTTACAGCTGTTGAGTTATTCCATCACACCCTACAGATACATTGTAGTCTGGCCCAGACAGTAAGGTATGATTGATTTCATGCATTTTTTGCCTCCCTGGATACTTCCTCAAATGGAGTTTTTCAGCCTGGGATCACGCTTCATAGTAAAACCAAAGTCAGTCTCTAAATATGTGTGGAATAACTTTGAAAATGTATGAATTCAATCCAAACGCTTAAGTATTCGCCTCAAGGTTTAGTGCAATCATGAAACTTGTTAGGCTAGACCCTTCATGCTGTGCAAAGTGAAGTTATGTCAAATGTACACCTGTAGTCTAAAGCCCACTCCTTACATTTACTTGATTTCCATCTTTGGTACTTACAGGTTTAAAATATTAAAACAGACCCGTGTAGTTGCTGGGAAAAGTTGGAAATCCTGGTGTACATGTAGTAACTTCAGACTATCTTACACATAGTCACACTTGTCAGAGGAGCATTTGGAAGTTCGATATTAAAAACCTTTCATCAATCAACTGGTAAGTATAGTGGAAGAAGGTAGGTTTTAATTTCATTGGTTAGCATGATATGAGTAGTCCTAGCTCTGGCATTAGATCTACTTCTAAAGGAAAACCACATCAAATATGTGGATCTTTTAGGTTAAGTGCAATAAAAAAAAAAGGGTTTATGCTGGATGTTCGCACTCATGAATTAACCCAAAGCTATAGAGCAAAGCATGAAAATCTTGCCTGTAATGATCCTTATCTTTTGAGATCATTGCAAGGAGAAGTGTAATCATGAAGCTCATGGTTCTGGAGCCACATAATTCTAAATGTTATATATTTTTGTATGAGCCTATTTCACAATTGTAAGCTAAGGGCAAATTCTTGCCATTCTGAACATTAAAAAAAAATTACATTTTCACCCTTTTGCCTGATAACCAAGATCATTTATGATATCATTAATAGGGAATATAATACCTCTGTAATGACTGGAATAGGTACTGGTTTGTTATTTGAATAGCTTCATAATTGTTATTCTTTTCTTTTCTTAGTTGTCTTTTTTTTAAATTTCATTTTGAGCTTTAATGATGAACAAGATTTGACAGAATTGAACTTAACTATAATAATGAGAAATTTCAGCCTACAGGGTCTGTTTTATCTTTTCCCATAGACCACATAGACCTGAAATTTCCAATCCGTCCTTTTGCTTCCTCGCAAGATGAAAATATGGACTTCAGAGCATGTCTTCAAGTAAGTGGAGGCCTCATTATTCTTATTCTGAGCTAAAATATGTAAAGTAAGGTATGCCTAGAAAATTTTTTATATTTTACATTGAATTGTAGAACTACATTCAGTTTTCCTTGTCAATGAACATATTCTTCTAGCCTGCTGGCCTAATGTTTTCTGAGTGCTCACAGCTCATTTCTTAATCTGGCTGCCAGAATAGTAATGTCACTTCAAGATTTTTTCCTTCTTTTCCTATCTTTCCTCTAACAGTCATCCATGGGAGACAGTTGCCCAAGCAGCATGGAGGAAGTATCCCAACCCCATGAATCCTGCTGTAATAGGCATTGATGTTCTGGACAGGAAGGTGGACAATGGAGTTTTGTGCTCCCATCGACTACTTAGTTCCAGTTGGGGCTTCCCATTTTGGGCCCAAAATGTAAGCAGAGACTCTAGTTGATTCAGGATAAGGAAGAAAGAATATCTCGAAAAAATGGAGAACTCTATGCTTGTGTTCATTTGAAGACTTGATTCCTTTAATGGAAAAGTATTGATACATAAGAGCAGAATGACTGGGAAGACTGGCAGAAGAACTGAGGATATTAGCTGCTGGTATGACTTTGATTTCAGATGTTGTATTGAGTATTGTAAGAAGCTGCACCTGCAACTGTTAAGCTTCTGGCCAATCAGCTCTTTATCAAAGAATCATGAAAAGTACTTGAATAGCACTCTCTGATTGAATGCTCTACTGAATACGTGTTCATACTTCTTGCCTGTGGGAATAAGGAAATAAACCTGGATTGAAGTTTCTTGAAGTTGAAATGGTGGCAAAGTGGCATTAGTCATGTAATATCAGAATTGCAGTCTAAGGATTTTTCAAACCTCCACAAGAATTCTTCAAAGCTGAGCCCCCTTGAAGGTGTTTTCCCAGACTATTCCATTATAACATGATATGGGTATTATTCTTGAGTATTTTTCAAAAAGAAATTGTACATAGAACCTATACATGACAATGAAAGAGTTTTGAGGTCAGTGAGTTCACGAATTCATATGTGTATATAATAAAGATGATCTTTGTTTGAGTCATATAAAGTCTCACTTTGGGAACAGAGCTGAAGAAAATCTATTGAAAGAGTGACAGTATCTTTCAATAGAGCATGGTGGCACATGTAGAATGAGGGCAGAGACAGATGCAGCATAAATATTCATGGTGGTCCAAAAAGCAAAGCTGTCATTTTTTGGTGAACTGTCACTGTAGGTTGGTGATTCTGATGAAATTTAGTTGGCATATAGGGTGACATGCATTTGATACAAAAGAGCTTAGTGGCCTAGGTACTGAAAAGAGCATTAATGAGTTAAAATCCAGAGTATTCCACTTTAGCATAATTGTAAAAAAAAATTTCTGCAACTGGGAGGATAAATCTATGATCTGTTATTGAGAGAGATATCTTGGTATGTGAGCTAATATGAGTGCATATTTTTCTCTTACAGATTGTGGGTGCAGAAGATGTATGTTATGCTAGTGAGCTATCTAAAGTGGACCCTCGGAAGAAGATATTCTGCTTGAAGACACACAATGTTTGTTCAATTGTGCTGTTACCATTGTGCAGTGTTATCATCAGAGGTATAATCATACTCTGCAATGATTGTATTTCTAGCTTACTTTCATGAAGAACCTTGCAGTGGATGAATCCCTTGTATATTGCCCACACCCAGAAGACTCAGGGAAGACTCTCCTAAAGCAAGAAGCTGTTGTAACTGTCAAAGGTGTCCCTCTCACCAGTTACCTTGAGAGCATCCTTACTGGCATTATTTCTTCAAATGCAAACAAAGTATATACTTGCCTCTCATTTCTCTGAACTTTTTTTGTTTTTATTATGGCCTGAGATTGCTGATGTGCATTGTTCCAGGGTCGTCAAGCCATGGAATGGGTCATAGGGCACATCAACAGTGAAGTTCAAGAGTTGACTCATTGTGCTGATGATTGGATCAGCAAGCAGCGCTTATCAATTGATGCCGCCTTCAGGGACTATGCTTCTCCTATCAACAACCAAAAAGTCTGACATTCAGACATATTTTAGGAAAAATAGTATCTTTCACACTCTCTGGTGTCTCAAGATGGTCTTTTCAAGAAAGCAGGCTTCATTGCAGAAAACAAGTTACAAACCGTGCCCTTCATTTGCCATGAAGATCTCGTCTGTGGTACCTTGATTGAATTTCTAGTGGTTGACTTTTGCTGTAATCAGATGTGAACCAATAAAAATACAGTTACTATTTCAAGAGGAAGTTGACATGCTTTTTTTCTACTTGAGATGAGCATACAAGAATCAATTGCACAGAAGTGCAGTTGCTTTTCCCATACTGCACTTGTTGAATTCAAATAAAGGCTCCCTTAATGTCGCCTTGGGGATTCGAAGGAACCAAGCTTCATAATAGGAAGAGCTTAAACCTTTACCCCGTTTCACGAAGAGAAATCTGACATTATTATCAGATGACATGGCTGAAATCTCCTGGATGGACTATTGAATGGACTTCATAATATACCCCACGCTTAGCTTTTCAAGTTTCAATAATGTGGGCAACAGAACAAAGGAACGACGCCCTTTGGAAAACAGAAACTGGTACGGTAACTTTGCACCAGCGCTTCCCGTGCGGAAGTCCAGTACGTAATTGGCTCTCCCAGATAGAGCCTTCCATTGCTCCTCGTCATTGTGAAGGTCATTCGTGAGGAAATAAACTGCCGAAATGATGCTGAATTGCATTTCCTGTCACGATTTGTGGAAGTATTGAAAGCCTTTCTCGTCGCTAAGAGACTGGTAGTATCTTAGCATTGGCCTTCTCGAAAGCATTTATTCATCTTGTGGAAAATACAATACAATCATTTCACGACCAAAAAATCCCATGTTATTCATTATATTTGACAATCAGGACCGGATTAAGAAGTTGGGGTGTCCGGGACAAGTGAATTCTTGAGGCTACCCCCCCCCCTTCCTTCGGTAATTTCACAAATATTTAACGCTTTTAATTGACTTCTGGGGGGGGGGGGGGGGCAACAGCCCTCTTTGTCCCCCCCCCCTCCCCTCCTTAATCCGGCCCTGTTGACAATGTTATGGTAAGTTAGATATTTTCGTTCACACATCAGTAAGTTGCATTTCATACCGAGTAAGACGTCTAATAAATTGTCACAGGGATATGAAAATAATTCGCTTCTGTTCTTTATGCTTCCTCATTCATAATCCCTTGAAAATCCTGAGGCTGGTCACCCTGAATACCTAGTGACTCATAAAAAGTTCTCAAATTCACAAGTCTGCGGAGGGAACAACATAGGTAACGAAAGGAGATATAAATGGTATGACATCCAATAAAAGGTGATATTGCGAAAGTTCAGCAAAATTGACCTTTCAGAATCCGATTTATAGATTTTTATTTTTAGTCCTACAAAGTTTCAACAGAGAAGCCAGACACAGGCAGGCACTCGCTCATTTGATCTGCAAAAATAGTTGTTTCCAGGCTTCTGAATGCCCAATTCAATTTCGGAAAATCAGCCGCACATGTGACACCGTGTAAGTTTCCTGAAATTTTCGCATAAAGAGTTTCGTCCGTATCCGTATAAAGTGGAGAACTTTTGGGGTCACCTGGTGGCACGATCAACATATGTTGATGGTTTCTGAAATTTAGATGAAATTTGTCTTTCGGAACGTTGTTGGTTCGACGTGAACTGGATGTGAACCTAGAAGTGTGAACCTAGTGAACCCCATCTAGAAACGATTTTCATAAAAGGAATGAATGGATGCTAGAATTAAATCTCTTGATGCAGAATGGCTTTACGAGATGCTTGGATTCATTTCTTCTGAACAGCTCGGAGTGTATAAAGTAATGGAGTAGCTTGAAGTGGGAACCGGGAAGGTCTTTCTTGACAGCGCACCTGGGATTTATTCTTTTATTTCCCATTCATCCAACCCAGCCTGGCTCATCATTTTTCCTTCGACGCGATATTGGAGGACAGAAGTCCACCTACACGCACATGCGGAAAAAAATACCCTGTCTCTCTGACTCTGAAAACTGTTTCTATACCATTTTTTTTTCTTGAGCGATATGCCCTGATATTATTTTGGAAAGCATTCTTGTCTCTCTCCACATGAATGCAAGAAAATTGTCAGAGTAATGCAAAAACGAAGAATATCAAGCAATGACTATGCGCGATCGTCTAAAATTCCCCAAAAGAGTCTAATCGGATACAAGTTCGTATCCCCTTCCTACTTTCATTAATTCGTATGAGAAAGATTCTGTAAGCTTTCAACGCGTGTGACTGATATCTTCGTGACAGTCCAGCACAAAAGTAGTTGAATTCGGTGGACATGAGTATGTGAAAGTGGGAAGTGAATGTATCACACCTGCAAGCTTAAATGACATGAGCATCCGAAGTGAATTCTGAAAACTCATCTGAAAGACAATCCAGTTGGAGAGAAATTTTTAGGATATATATATATAGTAGATTTCTCTCATGATATTGATATGGAATTGAAAAAATGAGAAGCTGTGAAAAACGTTAACACTTCTACCGAACATCCGACCGCCATACCACCCCGCGGAAAGTGATGACAACATCAATGCCACTTATGCACGAGACCATCACTGCTTGTTGGTCGTCCAGTGCTGATGCGGTGCATACTATCAAGGTGCACAGAACCTCTACCTCTCAAGCCATATAGCAGAGAGCTGCCTATTCTAAAATGCAGAAGAGAATATGTAGAACCCAGAAGCAGTGGAGTGAACTGTTGACTCAGGAAAAAATCACTTGATAGGTAGTTTAACATTTTAAGTAGTGTATAGAGTAGACAGCAACTGGATAATTTATTAGATACACAGTGTCATCATGCTCTCAAGACAAGGGGCGCGTTATACGAGGGCGCTTGTATGAATGATATCACTCCGTGCATATATTAGATTTGATGAGTGCGGACCAGAGAACACTGCACCTCCATCGACACACATACTATGGGAGAAGTGTGAACAATCGCAGTTCCTGGAATCGTTCTCTGTCACAGCTCCACTTCGTCTCCGTGGAACTGTATATATTCCAATGGAGAGAAGGAATCGTCTCCATTGTTTGGTCTTTCCACCACTAAATTCGGGATTCCCAACGGAACTCCTCTGTCATCTTCATTTTCTTTGGATTCCGTTTCCGATTCTGTATCATCGTCTGATCCTGACAGGATCTCCAATGGAAGATCAATTATTTCTCTGCTTTCTTCATCGATTCCTCCATGCTCCGTTGCAACGTCCTCGTGATTCAAAGGACTAACGTTTCCCCGAGGTGCATCGTCCTCGGCATTCACAGACAGTTGACATTGTTCTCTTCCGTCTTTGTTTGGATCAGATTGAATTTTACATGCACCATCCTCATCTATTTCCTCTTTTGAGTCCTTTCTCTCTTCCACGTTTGCACTTCCGTCAATGTTGCCTACTCCGTTGGTCATGCCATCTGCAATCGTACCTGCTTCGAATGTAGTATGTTCGTCAAGGGGTTCACGTGAACTGTCCTCCGAAGGGGAATCCACTTGGACGTGATCTTCAAGGCTCGCACTTTTTTTCACGACCCCGACGAGGCACATCCTATACTCAGTCTTTCTCAACAGTGCCTGGGAGATGGAAATGGTGAGAGAAAAGGAATCAAATATGATCATGGGAAACAGGCGATCGATTGGAGTGAGAGCAAGAGCATATATTGACGGATGGAATTCACGAAGATGAAGAAGGGAGATTGTTTTTAAACCTGGAAGTCGAAGGAAGGAGAAGAGGGGCTCTGATGACCCTGAGAAGCGGGCTTGGGTTGATCAGTCGTATGGACCTTGCGCAATTTCTTCCGCATATCAATGAGGCAACGTCCCTGGAGACCGAAATTTTGACCTCGGTTACCGGTCTCACCAGGGCTCCTCTCCCTCCTGCAATGCCAAGCACGCATGCCTGCTAGCTCAACGTCATTCCACCAGAGGTTGATTATGGGGCCCGCATCATGTCGAAATTGTCGTTAAAATTGAATACGCTTACAATCTTGGTTTTTTTGTGTGTATTTTGTCAGCATAAATGGGGTCATGTACGAAAACGCACGTCGTGACTCCTGATACGTGTCGAATACCTTCGAATGATGTGACCTGATGGTGAGTCTGAACTACGATAGACAACCCCTCCCCCCCCCTCATCTCCCCTTGCAATATTGGCCCATATGAATAAAAGTGAGTTTGAGCTTCCTTCTTCCCCTGCCTACCTCCAAAAGTCTTCTTATATAATCATTTATCTAGTAAAACTTGCTCCTGGTAAGATGTCTGATGCAATATGACCAGGTGGTGTTTCACCAACCTCAGACATTCCAGTTTTGTGTTGAAACTTCAAATTTAGGCCAACCAGTAGATAAATTCTACTTTCTTGGGAAAGAAAGTATTCATTTCAGTTTTTAATGAATAGAACACGAACATGAACCTGCAACACGAACCCCAAAATTTTCAAACAGCAAACGATAATGAAGATGAAACGAACAAAACTGTTACGAATCTATTTTTATTCGCTCCGAGGCCCTGGTTTCTGCTGACTTAAAGCAAAGAAGTTTTAGGGTTAAAAAATCACTTGGTTTATAAGCGAATGATCGAGTTTGGTGCTTGTGACAGGACAGATATGCGAATATCGTGCGCGTTTTCTACTATATCCTAGCGCCTTTCGTGTATGTTTGTGACTCCGACATCCTCAGCATGAAAGATCTTGTTTTATTCGATATAGGCAATTTTGACATGATCCGGGCGTCATGGTATGTATTAAGGCCAGATTCGACGATATCGAGTGTTGCGTGTACCGCGTGACGGGAGCCTTGACGGCATGAATATCCTGTGACGGTGGCGTTGCAGGGGGAGGAGGAATCGTACTGGTGCAGGTACTGGGACTGAATTCTTCAGGCTGGGGAGGAGGCGGGAGAAAGTCTTCTTTCTTGATCCCCTCTTCTCTCTTCCTGCGCATTCTCGGGTCTGGGCGCCTTCCTACTTTGTTCATTCGGAATACGTTTCTCTCTCAATATCTACCCTTCTTCTTCCTCAACTGGTTTACCGTAAAGTTTAGTCAAGTTTAGTCGGAAAGAAAGAAAGAAGAACCTATATCCTTGATGACGTGAAGAGTTGCTGGGTCTCGCGGAAGGAGGCGAAAGCATTTCAGTGGGTTGTCCCACTCTTCCTTGTCATCAACTTCTTGTCTGGAAAGAAGACCCCGTGAAAGTGTGAGATAGGATGCTAGTATTCACGGCTCGGTTTCGAGGACGAGAAGGGATCTAACTCGTTGGTGACTTGTTTTGCAGCCGGTGTCGATTGATAATTGGGATCACACATGTGAAAGGCGTCGTAGAAGCCCAGGTCCGTGAGGCGAAGGGGGATATTCGACAAGGGTGTCAGCTTCGGCTCCTTCAATACGTGCTTTGGGGTCTCCGGATCGTCTTCTTCCACTTGAGATAGATCCACCCCTGCGTTCCAACGTCTCAGCTCGTTGTTCACCTCTTGCCCGTAGAGGTGGACCTTTGGTAAAATTGATTTCGTCGAATTTATGTCTGGATTCCATGGGAGATGGAAAGACTTGCGGGACGGACTTGTTGGGAGAAGTATATGAGCTGTTCCATTTTGGCCGCTCGGTATCTCTGGAGTTGCTGGAAAATCGTCCTGGCTCGCCACTTCCTCCAGTAATGGTGAATCGTGGAAGTCATCTTGTCCTCATTCTCGCCTGGTCGTTATCGAGAGAAAATAGCTTTCAGCCTGACTATCCTATTCCGATAGCTCCCTGTTTGCTACTGCCAGAAAGGTTTTCCTCACCCACTTCAAGCTGGGCTCCCTTTGGATTGCGCTTCCTTGCCAAATAACCGCGGTAGACTGAAAGGGAAAACAGTGTATGCATTGCATATGCAAAACTTTCCTGTGATCTTGTTCTCTGAACTTACGCCTCTGGACTCGAACGGCCGCCTCGTCGTCGCCCAGGTCCCTAACTCCAAATCTCTTGACTCCTGCGAAATAATGGGTAAACAGGCCTTGTACGCAATGGAAAAAGCTCCGTTCAAAATTGCAACTTAGGTCTATTGCCCTCTATGCTGGAAATCTCAGCTGGAATGGGTCTTAATTTACAGTTGTGGTTCAACTGGGATTGATAAACTGAGCCGGCTATACGATGATACAATGAAAATTACAATATCAGCCGTATACCCTAACATTTTTGATTTTGAGAAAATTGATTCCGACGATCAATAAGATGATCAATAGCAGTTGCTGGAGACTCCGTCATGGAAATGTGACGAGAAGGAATCTGCCCGAAAACGCAATCTGGGATAGCATCTTCTCGCAGATTGTTACATGTTTGAGGTAAGGCTGTCGCGATGAACCTTCGTTCTTGGACGATCATCAACTTCGTTCACACTCTGCATAGTAACATGCGGTGAGTCATCCAATCACTCTCTTTGACTATTGATAAATGTATCATTACCGAAGTAGCCCACCTCTTCCGTTCACACTCGCCTTGATCCACACTGTGAACTTTCATTTATAGCAATGAAAATCGTAGCACTACCATTCGTAAGATGGTAGCGTACGAGCAAACAGAGCGTGTCCGCTGGCATCGTCGACCACCCGTTATCCATCCCGTGTCGTCCCAAAAAGGATACAGGCACTATTGCAATTGAGTCTTGTATGCCTTTTTTTATTTCAAGGGATCAGAAGGCCCCTTCATGACCGCACTATCTCCCAGGATTTCACTCATACCATTGACAAATCCCGGCAGTGTCCATTGGCGGATTCGCCATCGCCATGTCTATGATGGTGTTTCCAACATTTTCTGTCCTCTCGAGTGATCATCAAATTCAACGACTGTTCCAAAACTCAATATAATACTATACTGCAGATACACGAGGCACTTTTCATTGTGACCATAAGCATCTTACAATGTAGTGCAGACAGATAGCAATGGGCTGCAGTTGTTTTTAAAGCTTTTTTTTTTAATTTTATACGAGACAAGGTGGACTATAGTGGATGGCTACCCTAAGAAACGGCAAAACAGAGGTTTAAAAAAAAATCATGAGCAAAGATGTGTGACCGAATGGTGTGAAGGGGACAAGACTCACTTTTCTTTTTCTGCTGTTGTTTTTGCTGTCGTCGAGCGAGGAATCTCCTCACCATCGCCTGGATTTTCACGATTTTCCTCACTTCCCGTTCGTAGAGCCTGTCACAGATTCCCATGCGTGAAAGGGAATACCCTGGGAGATTTCTCTCTCGTCACAAGGAAGGCACTTGCCTGGAAAGATATTCTTCGTGGAAATGTTTGAGGCAGACTTTGGTCTTCCCCAAACTCCAACCTTCCAACTGGAGTCGGAGGAGGAGAAGCCGGCAGTTGTCCATCGTGCAAGCCACGGATTCGTCGAAATCAAATGCCAGGAACTGGTACCTGGAACGAAGTCGGTGTGTTTACTACACAATTCCCACGATTCCTTCCTGTTCAACGGGAAGAAAGAGGATCGCGTACCTTCGCAGGAATTCTTCGAAGTGGATGCGACAGGGGAAGCCTTGTTTTCTGATGGATATGGTTTCGACGACGGAGAAATCGTCCAGCTGGTGACTCAGGTGATTTTCTACAGATTTTGCTCTTCCGTTTTCGATCTTCAAGCACAGGGCATGATGAGGATGAGAGTTGATCAACTTCTCCAAAATGCTCAGCAGGGAGTGACGGAATGCCGATACCCACGTGGTCAATTGATTCTGCAGATATCGATGCTTGCTCCTCGTCGGAAAATGCTGAAAATTATTTATTTATTTATTTTCATCCTCGGGAAAATACAATTGTTCGACCTGAATCAAGCCAAGCCTATAAAGGATAGGCACCTTGCTCCTGTTCCCAGACGCTCTCACTTCCACCCGAGGGCCTTTGCCCTTATGCTTCGTGATGGCAGCCTCCTCGATATGCATGCTTCCCGTCCGGTAAAAACTCGCACTGGCCATGGAACTCAATAACGCATTCCCAGATAGTTTTAAGACCTGAACGAATGAAGGATAGGCGACGTGACTCGAATGTTCCTCCCAAAGAAGGGAGAGGGAATTTGGGAAACCTACCTTGGCGAGGTCATTGCTCAAGGTGCAACGATTATCCTGGAGTAAATGTCGTAGGTTGTAGTTGACGGGACCGAACCGATGCTCGATCGTCAGTGTCATATCCGCAGTGTTCACTCGAATACTCTCCTTTTCCAAGCTGCTTACGTCACCTGTCAACGAAGATAGAAAATACAATCTGTGGATGACGACGCGGTGAAAGTTCGTCCTTTCCCTACCCAGGAAGCTGTCGATGCTGATGGCCTCGTTCGAGTGGTCGTCGATGATTTGCAAGATCCCGTCCACCTTGTTCATGAGGAGATCGATCACGGATCGATTGTCGTTAAAAGTCAGGGCTTGAGTTTTGATTCCTTCCAACTCCAGGTCATGCTATGAGAGATAGTTTCTTTGCTTACCAAGTCATCGTCTCGAACGGAGAGTCTAACCCTAGCAAACCTCTTACCATTTCGTATACGAAGATCTGCTGATGATAATGATGCTGTAGGACCTCATTGGCGACGTTGACGAATAGTTGATGCAAGCTATTCTCCTCGTTGTTCTCGAACCCATTCACGTCCAAGATCCCGATGGAATATTCGTCCCCGCTGGGTGCAACCACAGACATCCTCATTTGATTCTCCACCCTTCTGCGAAGCTTCAACGAAGGAAAGTAAACTCACTAAATGAATTTAGACACCGTGAAGGACGTATTGAGGACGTGGACGAGCCAGTCGATGAGCCTCTGGAAGAGCATCTGACAGATCTCGTCGCGAGCCTCTTCGGGTTGGCTTTGTTTCGTCAAGGCCTTCATGAACTCTTCCTCTTCCAGCTCTAGCAGTTTGGCCGCTGGTCGAAAAAGAAACATCAGTTTCAATACATGGTAAAACGAAAATCGTGGTTTCCCAACCCCGGGAAAGCCTAGTGTCCGCTGTCACACTCACCGTTTCTCGCCGTGTCTTCGTTCCGAATTTTGATTCCCTGAGAGTCAGCGGTGAATTGTAGTTCTGAGGTCTCCAGGATAGCAGCAAGAATTTTAAATACTGAATCCACTTCTCCTTCACTCAGCTCCAGGATCTTGAAGGCAGAGATGAGGGATTGGTACTGCTCAGAACTCTTGCCACTGTCGTGACCAGAGAACTTAGGGAGAATCCGGTATGTCCCCTTCGCTGATAACCCATAGGTCTTCAGGTCTCCCTGGCTTTTCAAGCCCTCGTAGAAGTAGTAGAGGATGAGGAAATTGCTCTCCCCTCTGAAAGCCAATATCCCTGGTCCTATAGTGCCTATATATTGTATTCGTGAGGGCAGTAAAGTCTCAGCCCACTGACCGGGGTACTCGGACGAGTCGTCTGCGATCCAGCATAAAGATCCTATTCCTGAAGCCAGAAACTCGACCAGCTTTAGTGAAGCTGAGTTCCAGGAATCGGAAGCAACGAGTGGCCGATCCAATGTTCTTTGATGTTGTCGCACTCGTAAACGCTTCCAAGATGAAGTTGGCCTGCACCAGTTTGGTCGCCAGGAGTTGGTAACCCTGTCGATCACCAGACATCGCAAGATTTGTTCCGTCGCATTCTCTCACACGTTCAGAAAGTAATATTTAATTTTAAAAAGTAGATATCGTACGACATACTTCTCCCAGGTGGCAGAGATGGTGAACAAGCTGATTCACATTCTTGGTCTTCCCCGATCCAGATTCGCCGCGAAAGATGAGGATCTGAGATTTCTTGTGATGCAGCATATCCTGCCAAGCCCTATCTGCCATCGCAAAAATGTGTGGCTGGTTGTCGCTTCTCGTCTTCCCCACGTAGTTTTGGGCCAGCTGTGAAGTCCAGGTGGAGGGGAATAATTAATCCAGATCCAACATCTAAACTAGTCAAGGAGTAAAACAAAATCTTTCTGCGTTCCATCTGCCGGGAAATGGGAGGGCATTAATCCCCCCCCCCCCCAGCAATGAGACTGGCCAAGGAAGCCAGCAAGCGATGAGCTAACTCTAAATGCACCAATGTTGTTCATGACTTGAACGGTCATTCTATCTACTAGTAATCCTTTTTAAACGAAACTTTTACTCGATCACATCCTGTCAAAAATCTCTTTTTAGGTCAAATTTCGCTTCTCAACTGGTGTATTTTGAGGACACTAGAAACATACTCATTCAAGCAATTATTCATCCGTCTATTCATCCTCTTTCGCTGAAATTAACGCAGGAAGAAAAGGAAACAGTTTTATGACGCCTAGTATTAATAGCAATTGACCTGAGGGTCGTAAGCCTCTTCGGGTTCCTCGCGTTCCATTGCCAGCAGCATGTCCCCCACGAACGTGTAGTCTTGGTGAGCCTGGTAGCGAAGCTTCAGAATCTCGAGGACCATTTCCTTAGTCATTCTCTCCACGGCCACCAGATCGTCCGGGATGAGCCTCTCTGCGTCGCTCCGCATGTCCTTCTGCGAATGTGACGCGATAGGGAAGCGATTTCCGAAATGAGGTTTCTCTTGATACCGACATGGTTCGCGTGCAAGGTGTCCTGCTGAACATACCTTTAGGTACCCGTTTTTCACAGCCATGTCGAGTGGTCTATGGAGGAGAGGTAATTTGTCTGGGTAGAGATCTTCGCATAGCATCTTCAGCTCTTTTCTCAACTATGCAAAAGAAAACGCAGTAAGCCTCAGTCACTGCGAACGTTCATGTGTCATGGCTGCAATGTGTATGGTGTTGAAGGGAGGTTTACGTGGAAATCGTCGTCTGGAATCTGCTTGAGAAATGGATGTTCCGTGAGTTCTTCCATGATGGGTCGGCATTCCGCGTTTTTGGTCAAGCACCTACGACATTTTCAGTGTGAAAATAAACAAAATTGCGACCAACGATTCTTGAATTCACGGAGAATAGAGCTCAATGCTTATTCACTCGGCGACGAAGTCGTTGTAGTCGTCGCTCCACTCGATGGGATGCGCAAGAGTGGGCGGAGGGTACCTCACGATCTGAAGCAAAGCCCGCACGGGATGGACGTCCCAAAGCGGGGGCTTACCATCGCCCAGTTCGATGGCCGTTATACCTGATGGGAATGATAGTTTTTCATATTTCAATGTGAATTTGAGGTGTTTGGGGGGGGGGGGGGGGGAATCAGGTTGGATGGGCTTGCCGATGGACCAGACGTCGGCCCTTATGTCGTATTCCATATCGGGTTCCTGGATGCACTGAATCACTTCGGGTGCCATCCAATGAGGAGTTCCAATCATCGTCTTCCTCTTCGACAAGGTTTGTCCCATGAAAGCCGAACTCCCGAAATCCACCAGTTTCACGTCACCCTGGGCCGTGAGGACTATGTTTCCTCCTTTGATGTCCCGATGAAGGATGTGACGCTTGTGCATATAATCCGCTGCCTATGAGAGAGGGTTCGAAGCCATGTAAAAGAGGAATAGAGAAATCTGAAGAGATGACGAGACTATTGAATTGCCTCACTTGGACAGTTTCTCTGATGATGAAGGCGATGTGATCCTCCATCATGCGCTTCTCTTTCTCCAGTAATCCCGTCACCAAATCGATGGCAGCTCTCCCAGGACATAGCTAAGGAAGACACGAATCCTTAAAAGTTCTTGCTCGATGGACGTCGACTGCGAGGAACCGGGACTCTCTACCAGGCTCTAGCGTCATCTGCAGTCCCAGGCAGCAAACGTTAGCAATGAATTTCACATGCAGGTGGCGTTTGATTCGACCTGTTTAGGTTTGCGTTTTGACCCCCTTGCTAATCGTAACCTGGACCTTCCTTCGCTTTGACTGTGAGATTCTACTAAATGAATCCATTTAACCTTCTGCATCCTATCTTGTTACACACGTGACTGCAAATTCGCAATATCCGCTCGGGCGTTTTGTCCGTCGTACATGACATCAACCATGCCGCCGTGTGGCGGAATCGGTTCATGTAACCACAGCAGCTAAGAGCCAACAATAAATTGCTTTCTCAAACTCACCTCCATGACAAACCAGATTTCCCTTCCCTTGAGAAAAGCGCCGTAGAACTGAGGGAAGCTTGGATGCCCGTGTAGAGTCCTCAAGCTCCGGAATTCTTCGTCCAACTCCTGAAGTCGATCCTCGAAGTCCCGTGCCGTCTTAATCGCTACTTTTCGATTCCCTGTGGAAAATTCCATGGGTGTGTGCCGTGGCAGTAGACATATGGTGGGTTCGCACCCATCCGGCGCGGCACGACACGTCATGATTTTTTTAAAAGAACACATGCAAGTCGATGACGCAATGGCTATACGATACGGCAATTCGAGCATATTCTGTTTCGCATGTATTTATTCGTCTGACATCGTTCGCCAGGACGCCGAAAGTGTTGAAATTAACAAGCCTATACTGCTCATGTAAACTTTTTATGCTTGAATACTTTTTCAGCCTCGTAACAGTATAATCATACAGCTTTGACGTCTGAGGGATGAGTCTGCTCTCCCAAGCTAGAAAAGGTGAGCCTTGCCCAATTTTCATAAAATGAAGACTTGATGGAAGTTAATATAATTTTTTTTCATGGGACTTCCAAGGGGGATCCGGGGAAACGAGGGTGATTTAAATAAAAAATTGCAGGGAAAAGCCTGATTCCTCTCCTCATACGAGTTTTAAAAAATGTTTCATTCTGTCAATTCAAAAGAATGCTTGAAGCATAGACATGGTTAAACCCGTGCTCAGTCCCCTTGGCTCCACTTTTGAGCGTGAAACGAAGATCAAGTACACAGTTGCGGACTTAGAATCCCTTTTATTTTTATTTTTTTACTCGGGATGCGACGAAAATTTTCGGATATTTCAATTCACGAATACCCTCCCTCTCTCTTCTATTTATTTATGCCTTTAAGAGATAGGTCACCTTTTGGAGCAACATTCCACAGTTTCTAGTAATATTTCTTGCCAATAGACCCTTGGAGAAGCAAAAACAGAAGAAAGTCGTAGCAGTATTCATGCCAATACAATACTTTCCTCCATATTTTCATTTTAATTTGTCAGTAAGACGGCATTTTTCTTTGAGGCTCGTACTCTGGCTATTTGTTTTGCATCCAGACGATATCTTCGAACTCCCGGACAGATTTTCTTACTTTTATGGAGCTGATAAATGCAACAAGGAAAACCATATGAGTCGTACCTGCATTGGAAAATTTAACATATCAGAAAGGCCCTTAGTTGGATGAAATTTCCGCACAGGCATACCCTTAGCATACGAAAAATTCACGAGGAATCGCGAAGAGAAGGGGAAGTTCGGGGCAGAATGGGCCCCAGAACCCCGATCAGTTATAAAAAAAATCATTGCTCAGCGAAAAGCCGGACGAGCATATCCCAAAACGGTTTAGACAAACGTGAATTGACTTCCTTTTTTCAGTTTCATAAAAAAAAAATCGGACCAAGTCGTGCCGCGCCGAACAGGGACCAAGGAACTCATTCATTCCTATCGGAGTCGTTCGATGTGAACGCTCTTTGTGACGATTTTGAGGGGAGCATGACTATCGCGGGCATTAATATCGATACATCCGGCTAACCTCCATCAGAGTCGATTGCTTCATATACGAGCCCAAAGACTCCTTCACTGATGACGTTGCTGACTTGAAATCTCTCGCCCGGGTCTTGCAGACCGGAAAAGTCTAGCTTCTCAGCCGTCTCCATTTCCTTCGTCGCCCGACAGCAGTCGCAGCACTTCGACGATGGTCAATACTTCCGTGTCGTTCGTAGCTACTCTTCAAAACCTGTTGCAACGACCCACCGGAACAGGCTCATTGAATACGTGAGGGTAATTATGAGACCCAGACTGAGATTTGTTCTCGGAAGATATTCGATTCGTATCGTAAATAAACAGGGAAGTTATGTTTGGCGCAGAAACGTAAGATGTTCTTCACCTGAGAACGCAGCTGTGAAATCAAGGACGAGTCTTTCGGTGCAGTGGCCACAACGACACGAGAACGACTTATTGTCTGAGGCTCCTGCGAGTAATTGAAACTCTTGCAGGCGAAGACCCACAAGGATTCGTAATCTAATTATTGTCTTAGGGATTTTCTTTCCGCTTTCTTTCTCTCTCTTTCTTGTTGTTCAATGTTCAACGCATCTCCTGAGTGCTCAGGAAGGAATAAAGGAAGGAAGGAAACCTCGGTGAATTTCTCGAAATGGAAGAAGCTTTTATTTCGAAAAAGAGTCTTCCTATGGCACCCTTGCCGCGTCTCCTCCGTCTCGTGAAGATCCTTGCGGTGACTAGAAAAAGAAAAGCGTGGAAACGAAAGGGAGGGAAGAAGTGGCACGGGTCACTTGCACCGCGAAATCCACCCGGTCTCGACGCAAGTCTTGCAGTGGACTTCACAGCACCAGACGAGGCGACACTGGCATCGTTGGACGGAGCGATGGTAGACGAGGTCGTAGCCTCGACCGCAGCACATGATGCGACACGAGTCGCTGCTGGTGGCATCCACCGTCCGGTTGCAGACCCGACCCGTCGTCCCCAAGTGATTCAGTCGGGTGTCAGCTTCGCAGTACGTCGGCGACGGCTCGTAGTACACCATGTCCATGAGGAAAGGCTTCCGCCGTTTTACTGGTCTCCTAGTATGAAAGGGAAGAACTCGTGAGACCGGCTTTCGGAGACTTTCGGATCGGACGCGAGAGTATGCACTGTTCATTTTGCCCATGTGGCATTACTATTTTTTCAAGTAAAAACATTCATATCGTGCATGAAGTTTGAGAGAACGGAAATCTGGGCAGCTGTCGTAGCAAAATTGTAGGGATGGGTACAAACGCGTGCAGGAGTAGATATAGTATTCACTACTGCAGGTCAGAAAATTTTTTAAATATTGGCTTAATTACCTTTTCAAGGCGGTAGTTTAACTATATGATGACGTGAGACGAAATTTTGAAAAGTTGACAGTGAGTTTTACGAGACTACATTGTATATTCCAATGAAAGTTAATGTGAATTTCAGGAAAATCAACTCTTCATTTGCGAGTACATACTACATATTGGAATTGATAAGCCTTGGTTCATTTGTTGTTCTTGATTACATAAACTTAGAAAGAGCGAGTAACTGCATGTAGGAGTAGCTGAATTCCTCTTACATACAGTAAAAGGATTTCAACTCCCGAAAAAAAAACCCCACTGCGATTGAACTGTATAAATATTTCAGTCCTTAAGTCCTGCCCATCACTGCAAAAGTGAAGGAAATGTTTTTCAGATATCAACTATATAGTCATATAGTCATTGTTCCGTTTGTATGTATGCCTGCCGACTGTACGATAAGCGCGGTTACATGATACAGGAAGCCCTCAAGGGTCGAAAGAAGGCCGTGCAATCGAATGAGTAGGCAGGCCTATATCATGAAAGTAGCCAGGGACGTAATCCGAGGTGACATGAGCATCGAGTATCTCACGCGTCATTGCCTCAATTCAAGTCTCGAGCGCTTCAGTCACGATGAGGCTTTGACATATGAGTTCGTGACAACGGGGAGGAACTCCCGTCCTCGTCTTTGATGCGGGATCCCTTCGAGTGCCTCAAGGACGATATCATTGCATCCTCACCTGCCGGCAAGTTTCTGGACTTTGAGCCCGGCCTGCCCGTTGTTGGCCAGTCCGACCGGAAGGGCCTTGGCGTAGCGTTGCTTCATGAAGTCCCCGATCTCCCGGAATCCCGGCGGATGTCGCCAGCAGGTTTTCATCTCGCAGCTCCCCGAGAGCCCATGGCATCGGCAACGAACCGTGCTCATCTTCAGTATCACCTGCGACAGAAAAGGGCGGGAAAAGAATGGAAGTGTCTTCCGTGTGGTCCGCAATAAATTTATACGAGAGAGAGTGCGAGAAGAAAGGATCCGTGAGATGGCCACTGGCTATTATCTATCAGAGGAATTCTTGCTTTCTTCCTTCCCGCCGCCCGGCTCCATTATTTTCATAGAAAGCCCAGATTTCACACCGCATCGGTTCCGACAGCAGGCATTGTTTTTTCTTCTTCTGCTTCTTTTTCGCGTTACATCAATGTCATATTATATACGACCCTCCACGAAGTGTCTAAGTAATCATTGGTGCATTCATTAACGGCCTCCCTTTGTGTCCGTGTCTTTATTTTGTGCTGGCCGGGAACAGAGACTCTGCACGCTTTAACGCGATGACTATGGACACGTTGTCCCGAGAAGGAACACAATTTACTCAGCCATTGTGTATGGGAGTGAAGACCCGAGGCGAAGAGCTCAATCTTTGATAAAGTCATTAAAGAGGGCCGCACGTCTGGCGCTGGGGCGCTGGCCCTCAGAGGGTCTTCCCAGATTATTAGTTCCACGGTGGTCCGGCCACACATAATAGCCGGGCTTCTCAACTCACCCCATGATTTTCACACATACCAGACAAGGGCCTGCCCCTGTTAATAATAAGATTCCGGCGAAATAATTGGCGAGACGGGCGGAGATTCCACTATTCCCGCACGGGGAGTCCCGGGCGATCGATTTATGGCCGCAGCCTCCTTCGTGACCATCTTTGTGACACGACACCCATGATCAATGGGTTAAAAAGAAAAAATCTGCCATCTCCCTGTTTTCCACTCTAATATCGTTGGCATGTGCTAGCGTGAAATTAAATAATTCCTCTGTCTTCCTTTCCCTTCGGGCCCTCTCCCATGTCCACCTCTTATTCTTGGTCGGCTCTCCGTCTGCTCGAAAAATAATTACCCACCATCGCGCCTCATGTTCTGACGCCAAAGCCTCTCATTCTCGTGTAATTCAAGAATGATAAACCTAGACACGGCGAATTATCCGAGCAGTATGTAACTAAAGGAGATGAGAGGGTGCCACTAATGACTCCACCACGGTCATCATCAAACCCTCGGCCGATGTTGTTTTTCGTATTTTCGACTCGGCATCATTCCGGAACGATCGGATACTGGGAAAAAAAAAAATACCCGGAAATATTGAAACTCACCAATCGACCCAAGTTGTGATTGTGTCGAAGGAACCGGGAGTGTATATCCTTCCCGCTCTCCAAGGAACCCAGGAAAACTTGGGAAATGGACGAGGCGGCTTCGGGGCTCGTGAAGCATCCGGCCCACTTCCAATTCGATTCCGAGTTCACGCCCTCTCGACAGTCGCATCCCGACGAGCCGTGCAAGCCGCTGCACTCTCGACGAAGCGCCCACATCATCCCAGCTGCCAAGAGCGATGCTGAAACCGCCGTCTCCCGGTATCCTAGAGGGCATATTTCAAACAGCAGTTGAAATAACTGCAGTTTTTTTCTATTTAATGCCATGCAGTGCTTCTTTTTTCACGGGCGTGCGTGGACTCACTAATCCGACTTCATTCGACTACCAACCATCTGAGAGACAAACTATGATACTCGATTCGAAACTCGACGCGTCCTCTCTTCGAAAACGTACTCCATTCGCCGTGGAGTACGGGGGATCTCGATTTGTTCCACCTTTCGTGGTCGGGGTGAATTCGAGTGACAGATCACGTACCCATTTATGGCAACTGATCATCCATAGAATTATGGTAGGCGTGCAGAACTCTTTAGAATTGCAGATATTTCTTTTTTTTTTTTCATCGGATATTTTGTCGGATCGCTGGAAAGTATGCAAATGAAAATCCAGTTGCAATTAGTTACAGTCGACCGCACTTGCTCGGAGAATTTACATCCCCTACCCTTAAATTCTCGGAAGCTTTCGCAGTCGAGAGCAATCAAATTCAGCAGAATCTTGGGATTTCCTCGGAGTTCGATTATCGATACCATTAAGAGCTGACGCGTTATTCTTCCGTTACTCACGACCCCGGCGAGGCCTCAGAACGTTCGGTCCCGTTCTGGAGGCCTCCAAGATCACGGGGACCTCAAAGGGCTAAGAGGGTTTGGACGTGAGCTGCTAAAGGCATGCGAAACGTCAAGGGACTTCTGTACACGTCTAGAATTCGTCGACGTTTCAGGCTCGATTCTTGTATTATCTTTTAGGTAAAGATGCCGTTTAATTTAAAGAGGTCTCTCGCTGAAATTGGCCTCAAAGCTAATGAGAAGAATGGGTTATTAAAGGATAATTAAGAGCTCCTTTGCATTTAAAAGGGAGAAGTATCGAGCCCGTGTTTTGATAACTTAGAGTACGATATCTGAAACCAGACAAATTTTGAAGAGCAAGTTTCTCACTTGGGTGCTGATTGCCTGGAATTGCCGCGATGACGTAGTGACTGCCATTTCAGTAGATAATTTTGACACGGTAGGCGCTTTCATGGTAAATAAAATAATTTAAAAAAGCATTTAGCAGTAAATATTAAGAGACTCCCTTCAAAAAGACAGCCTAAGCGTGGCGGACTTCTACTGTAAATTAGAAGGGGGAAGAGTGCTCGACCTCGTCTTGCGGTCTCAATATGGGCGGCAACGCCTCGAGAAACTCTTAACCGTGCCATGGCACCGTGCCGGAAAAAAAAAATCACTGGAAACCTACGAAAAAGATTTCTTTTTATGCGGTCAGAAGAATGTGTCCTGAGGAAATTCAAGTTGACGACGGTAGAAGCGAAATGCGAGTGCTGAAGAAAAAATCAAGTGATACCTCGCAGTTAAAGACCCCGTCACTGGAAAGCGAGAAAGCTGAGTTTATGTGATTGCATTTATTTTATTTACTCGAAGCAGGAAGAATGCACGTTAAGCTTCCATGCAACAGCACAAAACAGTGTCAGAGGTCATACTGAATTTGATTTGCAACCACATCATTGATGGGATCCGAAGTTCCCGGAATACTCTCTTCCCTTCTGCAGATGTCTGTGTTTATTTTGAGAGAGAGATTAGGGCTGAACGAGTTCTAACAGAACTGTAAATTAGAAAACAGACAATCCACAGTTAGTCCTCGGCAAGAAACTGGAGCATCGATTTTGACGTATGAGGTCCCGATTGATTGGACTCATTCCAAGGGCATGCCTTCGGGGGTATCACGTCCTGACTTTCCTAACACTTACTGTTACTGAACTCTTACTGAACAGTACTTTCGCGCAGTGCCTCTATAATGAACCATTTAGAAGGCTTTCGTGTGCGATGGTGACACGATCAAGGGCGAGCTGGCATGATTTTCTTGGGGAAAAAAAGGCCTAAAAAGCCAAAACCACGGAGTACACAACCGAGTAAGAACCATGTGGTATCTCGCCCCAAAAGCAGGAAAATAGAATTCCTCGGGTAAGAATCGCCTGCGAAGGCGAAATCCGTCAGCAGATAGAACCAAGCAGTAGTTTAAACTGTGGACAGAGTACCCGTCCACTCTAAAACAGACCAGCCGATCCCATTCCTCACTCGAGTCTCACTACCTTTCCTCATGCGACGATGGCGACAGATGGTGACCTGAGTTCAGAGTTGCAGTGATACCACATTGCTCTAATTTGACGTTAAACTTGAGTTTTACTCATGGCTTCGGCCATAGCTCGATTTACTTTCAGCTCAGGATGCTTTAATTTAAGGGCACGTTAATAATGTTTCACGTCCCGTGTCCAGCGTAAAGACAACAAGGAGGTAATAGCCTGAGTTTTACTCATACTCAAACAATGTCGTCCTTTCCTTGCTGCGCCACGAGACTCTCGAAGTTACCGTTGTTATTGTTATTACTTAAGTTTATTATTCATCCCGGAGACACCTTTTCCTTCGTATGGCAGCGCAATGCAAAAGCCAATACTTGTACAATTTTTACATCTAGATCTACCCCTTCCTTTTATTAATGTCGTCTGATAAGTCGGGGCGAATTTGAAGGGGGAAAAAGAGACAATAATACAGCTGGCTTGCCCTGCACAAAAATTGGCAATATGGAAGAGGAAGTGATGAGAAACGACTGAAATGGAATTTTGCAAACGGCTGGCCAGCCAAAACTGATGCAGTCTTTTCAGTTTCGTTCGACAATTCGTCAACCATTTTGTCGTCTCTAGCCTTTGGCTTCGCCACAGAGAGTTTCGATTCGCATCTTCTGCTGAGTTTTCTTTGTGCAGAGTTCGAATCGATTCCGAACCAAAAATGAAACAGAGACTGCGAAGTCGCCAATTGACCTCACTCTTTCTTAACTCTGTCATAACTAATAACTAAACTCATTCTCGCCGTGTTTATGCTCCGGCGCATAGATACTCGGCAGCACGAAAAGCAGAAACTATTTAGAGAAATATAGGCCTACATAACGGGTCATCCAGGTCCAAAATTCATTAAGTTTCCCATGTCCACAGGCACAATGTATTGGGTTACAAAACATGGTTCTCTTTGCTTTACTCAGGTGTGCCCTCTGCTTCTGACATCTTCATGAATGTGGGCCCATCATGCTCTCAAGATAACATCTTGGAGTTCGGTTAGAAAGTTTCGATGTCAGCATCATGGGAACATTACTCACTTCTATCTCGGGATTGCCTCAACTCATGCGTAAATGGTTGAATCTATCTATCTATTTTGTCTTTCTAAACGATTCATGCTCCCCGAACTCACGTTTCTTTGTTGACGCGATTCTTACTCTGTTGCGTGCGTGAAGAATTCTCAGTTTACTTTTTAATTTCCGTATAAACAGTTCATTTTTCAGGAAGTCACGCCATCTCGCCTACGTTTTCGATCGATACACCAAACGCTTGTACATGATCGAAAACAGCGGGAATTTTTTTTTTTTATGGAGCAGAGTGACCTAAATGGACACGCGTTGGCGCTAGCAGACGTGAAAATCCCCGCCCTCTCAATCTCAATCGAGAGGAATGGCCCAGCACCTTCCGCAGTCCTTGCATCGCTTATTTTCGAGGGCGACCGAAGTGGAATGCCCGAGCCGAAATAGAGTGGCTGTGACACTCGAGGAATGACACAGCCCCTCATCTCGGTATCTCTCGGTATCGTAATGATACAGAGAGATAAAAGCCGGGGTTGAAACGGCTGGGAGAAAAAGTGTCCCATGAGCAATACCTGACAATCCATTCTAGCATGACACAGACACATGGGGGCTCGAAGATACGTTCACCGTCGGGTCGATTTATGTCCTTCGGTTTCGACTTTCTCTCTATCCAATCGAGACGCATAAAATTCGTTCTTTCCGCTCCGAATGACCCCTTAATGAAGAGAGTAATATAGCGGAATCCATCGTGATTGACTCGAGACGAGTCATGTGACATGGAGCTCCCGTCACAAACCGCGGAGCGCAGGTGTCTTTTTGAAGGAATCCACCGAATTCCGTTTATCGTCTGGAGATCCGTCTCGTCTTTAATGACATCGACGTACCGGAAGCCGGAGAATTTCTGCTCTTTCCACGGGATACTTTCATGCGTGTTGTTCATGATTGACCTCCCAGACGCGATTTGCGATTGGTCAACGTCGGAGGGAGAGACTCCGAGGAGCCGTCATGAGGCTTCACTTGCTGCATGATTGCCTCTCGTGCATTTTCCCTGCTATGGAAGCCAACCATCCCTGGAATTCCTCGGCTAGAAAATGGAAATACCTGGTCGTAGTATTCGTCTTTCTACATCTCCTATTCCTCCTATCGGTCTTCGTGCATCCTTCTTCGAGGCCGTTTCCATTCTCTCCCCCGTCGGCTACATTACGAGCTACGACTCGGTGGCTACATTTTCTCTCGAAGTGGACAAAATTAATGCTGCCTGTCAACAAGTTGTTATTTCCACGTCGTCCTCGCACGTTGGAGCGTTTCATTCATTGAAAGTAAGAAATGTGCGAAGGGGAAGAGAGGTCTCTATTCCAATGAACCTTGGGGAATGGGACAGCCGCGACTAATCGGGACGGGACCCACCGCAGAGGTCCTATTGGATCCTACGAGCCCTTCTTCCTTCCTTCCTTCTCCGGGCCCCCCGTTTCACTGCTCCCTCCTTTCTCTGAATGCAACCACCCGATCGTGGAACCGCCAGAAACGGTCGAAGGAGAGAAAAGCGGGGCCCTTCGATCCCTTTCGTGCGATACCGAGCTCTCCGGCGTCTTTTCCCTGCTGGAATTCGGGATTCGCTCTGTCGTAGAGGGCTTCGGCTTCCAGCGCGTTAGGAGAAGCTCGAAGGTCCTGGTCCCGTCACGATCGGGCATGTATGTCACGACCGTTCCTATACTCTCGTGTCTATCTGAGATCAAAATATTTGTCGAGGAACGTCTCCACTGTTTGAAGAGTCTTTCACGGAGACGGTCAACGAAGCGAGTACCCTGAACAACTGAAACATACTGTAATGGAGTTTATGTTGCATTTTTACACATATAATATGTTTCTACATAACCGTAGAGGGTAAAGTAGGTTAAATATTGATGCGCTGTGTCGAGGTGGAGGGCTGCACGGACGTCAGATGGGCAAACCAAGTAGCCCCAAAAAGATATAAAACGGTAATTTTTTCCGCTTTTGTTAAAACAGACATAATGGAAGCCTAGGTAATTTATTTCTCTTCCATCGTGGACCGGAGCGTCTACGAACTTTAGGCATTCCCGCCGTATCTGGAGAGCACCGCGCGATGATGCCACCACAAAAAGGAGGAGAAGGCTTTCAGGGGAACCCTTCTTTCAAGGGGCCTCTCCTCGAAGACATGTGGTCCTCAAGTAAACGGCCTCTTCTATTTGAGGCACACATTCTCTCAAGGTTTTTTTTTTTTTTTTTTAGAGGATTTGGACAGTCCACTCTCTTTGCCTGGAGAGGCTATCCCAATATAGATTGGAGAAAATACCTCGAATTCCTCTGACTCAATAAGGGAAAAATACGCGCTGTAGCTGAAGTTTTGCATTTTGAGCAAAAAACAGGAGACATCGCCCTGAAATGTTCGTTTTGCTCTGACAGTGCTTGCGGGCTCTCGATAACAGTCTCAAAATGCACAGGAAAACTCGTTTTCATCCTCGCACAATGACAGTCGGCCATTCTCATACTGGATTCATGTACTCCCTTTTGGCTGTTAACGGACTTTTAGCCTCATATCTGGAAGTCCGTTAGCAGATGAAAGAAATTAGAAAAACCTATCCTTTGTTTTCATTCGATCTGCTTTGGAGCAATTCTGAGTAATGCAAAGGCACGAAAGAAGGCTATCGATGTGACTACCAGAACGGAGTTAATAAGTTCAACTTCGCTTTGGATATGAACGTGGCAGGTCTAGCCTTTCAACGAGTTCCTGCGTAGAGCTCCTTAAATTCTGCCAGTTTCTAATTACGACGCAAGGTGTGACGAATTCAGGAAGAAAAAGGTAGTACTTTTCTGGGAAATATCTGGGGTCGAGCTTAAGCCATGAGTATTTCGGGCCGTCAAAACATAAATTACTTTTGAGTTGGAATTATATATACCGGATGAGGCAAAAAAAAAAATGCGCGCCGCTCTTTGAACATTTGTGGCGCCTCTGAAACAGCTGCTAGAATAGCGAAAACCTTTCATTACATACCTATATGCATCCTTTGAGCGTCCGAAAATTTTTGCTCCCTTATCTTCAGCCGTTTTAGCACACGAGTGATTTTACAAAAACAACTAGATATTTATTTTTGGACCTGGACGGGAGGACCTACTCCGCTCAATGGGAATGACGATTCTTATCGCCAAGGGTGTTTTCCTCTGCACTCGAGAATCCGCTGAGCTGGTCTCTGACTCGTTCTTACGTCTGGCAATTTGCAGATGAGAATTTTCCTTCCCTGAATTATCGTCATTCCCAGGATGATCATCTTGAGAAACGATTACTTCTTCCGCATGAACGCGGTTTCCTTCAGTTCCGGTTAGTTTTAGTCTTCCGCTCCTTCTCCTCCTCTCAGATGAACCGGTTTCTCTTAGGTCATAAATCAACCTCTTATGGATAGGCATACATTTCTTTCCTCCTTAATGAGGAAATTCTTGCAAAACTCTGCTCCGCCCCATCCTTTCGCAAAGAGCAGCATTTTTATGACCAGGCGGAAGAGATCTGGTCCGAGATTGGTGCACTCCACGCGTACCAACTACTCTTCCGCCGATGAGCAAAAATAAAATTCGAGTTGCCTTCGCGTTTTCACTTCTGTGCTGGAGGAAAATGAACAAGAATTTTTGGACGTTCGAGGGATGCCTAGAAATCGATGCCAAAAAAAATTGTTTGTCCTGCTATCGGTTATCTCACGAGCTCCAAGGAATCTCAAAGAGCGGCGAGGCGATCTCACCCGAGGTAGATCGAATCAGACTTGAAAAAAAATGGAAACAGAAGTATTGTATCCCTGTCTGTCTATAAGATATGTTTAAAAAATGTTTGTGAAAACAGATACCTAGACCCGGACAGAGTGAGACTTTATGAAATGCGCGACTCTTGATTATTTTCTAAATATTCATTCTCCTTTCAAAGGCAATGGTTTGGTCCCAATTATGTCAGGTATAGATAATTAGCGATAGTTCCTCCTGAGACAAATAATTGGTTACACTAAGATAATCTCCATCGCGCTTCACATTCTGGGAAATTAATCGATTCGTAATAAGAAAAATTGCAGCTGGACTGGCTTCATGAAGCTGACATTCCTTCTCAGTTTCAAGAGGAAAAATTTCTTCGAGTTCTGTCTAAGAGCGGGAGCGCTCCAGTGCTTTGCGCCCTATTGCAAAACTATGCGATATCAAGTGGAATATCGGATTCGAGCCTCACCTTTCCGGAGGAGGAAGCTGGAGTAAAGGTTTTCTTGTTCTCTGAGAGAAGAACAGTTCCAGCGATCATTCTGGAACTGGTGCTGGCATTCTTGGGTGGCCTTCCGGAACCCGTCGAGAGCCGCGGACGTGAGCGACGGGAATCGGAAGCACACGCTTCTCTGTCGGTGAGTCAAAGACGGCAAAGAGGCACAACTCAGGTCGTCTCCCTTCCGCGACGCCGCATCATCCGCATACCTGGTGGAGGAAACCCATAGCGATCGCGTGGCGAGGGACGGCGACGAGCGGGAAGGGGTCGACCGGGCCGGGATGGACTTACCGGGAAGGATTCGAAAGGACGATGGAAATGATGGAAGACAGGAGAAGGCATCGCATCCACCATTCCATATTAACTAGGCCATGATGAGGCAGGAAGACTCCGTGCACACTAGGCTTTGTTCTTTTCACATCTATAAGACACGAGGCGAGAGGTTATTGTGGTTACCTAATCATGGGAAACTATGCCAATCAGGCTTCTCAATGATAGGGCTCCTGCATCTATTAGTGCAGGGAGTTGGCAGGTGCCTGTCAACATGAGCTATTGTGAGACGCTTCGGTGATATAATACTACTTTGTCTCTCCGATAATTGAGTCCTACACTCGGAAAAATCCTAATGGGCTGCCCGAATGAAGACGAATCTCCAGTCATTCATCATACACGAGAGGAATCACAGTGCGAGAGCGAGAACACGATCTCATGTATGTAGGAGTAGAGCACGAAGTGGAATCGAGAAAAGATTGAGGAGAAGAGAGGAAAAAAAGGTCTCTCTCTCCCAGCGCGAGGTCCTCATGCCCGTTGGCGGCTTCCTTCGGGGCGGAGCATTACGCACTCACTCCCTTGACGGCGGAAAACATGCACACACACGCTCTTACACGTGCATACACTCGCGGGCGAACTCATGGAGTCGACTGACGCCTCTTCTTCGTGGGCCTGGGAGGATCCTGGAGGTTTTTGTTGGATGCTGGGAGACGATTCGGTGGTATCGGGTGGGAGTCGCTCCATCGAGTTCCCTTTCATTTGCCCACAAACATGTTTCCAGCAGGAAAGAGGAAACGCGGGCGGATTATTATTTTATCTTACTTTCCTAATATCTGCACGAGGGAAGGTTCTCGTAAATGTACGAAGCAAATTGAAAAACCAGGCAGGACTGCACGAAAACTCATAACACCACCGGGCTTTACATGCAAAACCGGGGAATTCTATTTGCAACCTAATTTTTTTTAGGTTGTTGGATGCAAAAAGAATTAAGATGCCAGAATTAAAGAGTCGCCTACTCGTACGGCCATGCCGCGTGCCCGAAGCTAGAGAGATGGGCGTGCCGCGCTTCAAATCACGACTCTGAGTCGCAAACCTCACGAGAAACAATCAATCAAATGCCTCAAATCACAATTAATTGATTTTATGAGTGGAATAATCGAACCACTGATACGAGTCAGATGAGCCATCGAGGTCATTTCATATCATGCTTTAACTCATGATTGGGAAGCATCATCCCCGTACCGGCGAAGTGAAATGATTAACTTACTTCCCTCATCGCTTGAATACTGCCTGCAACTTTACAATGTAATTTGTGATTTAAAAAACGATGGCGACATCATAATCCAGATAATTCTTACCAGTTAATATCGATCAATTTTATTTGCTCGCATGTGATTAAACTCAAATCTCAGGATGTGGTTCAGATCTGAATCATATCGCGATTTGATTTTGCCCCTCGCAGAACGACTCGAAAATCATCGCAAGATTCCCGTTGTTTGGAGGACTTATTCTGATAACGACAACAAGTTGCGGCAACAATCTGCTAATCGGGGCGACACGAGCCAGAAGAGCTTCAGCAATGACTTTCGCGATTGCCGAACGATCTACCGGCTTGGAAGGATCATCGAGGTCGTAGAAACAAATCAGAAGTTTAACACCAGAGGGCTTCGAAAGGATCCTACATATTTTACGCATCAACAATATTGCGACACATTGAGCCATTATTGTGACGCATTGAGCCACCTACGCGTACATCCCCGAAGTCCCCCCGGGAGCGTACGAGTACTCGAGCCGCATCAGTTTCCAGTGCCTCATTCCAACATCTCCCGCTGGAAAAAGCGGAGGGAAAAGGAAGATAAGATGAAGGCAGACTTTGATGGAGGCTGCACGGCCTGCACACCCCTAATAAAAAAGGCTCTCCGTTTGACGGCCTTGCTTCAACAATCTCTCCCAGACCGATCCTGATAAGAGCGTTGTGGAGTGACAGTGGCCTAAGAAAGTGTTTCTCGTCGGAGATATCATGACAGAGGATGGACCATCATGGACTTAATGCCCCATTTAAGGCAATTTCTACAAAGTTGCAGCTCCATCCGAGCAGGCCTGATGTCATCCACCTCTTGTAAATGTAGGGTTGCAATCGGTCCCGTCGATCCCGCACGGTTCCGACCATTGACGGACTCTAAGGTTAATGTCAGTGGAAACATTCGACTGGAACAACTCGAATGAACGAGTTCTCTTCTCGATATGTCGATGTACTGGATGCAATTGATATCGAGCATGAATGCAATCGACATCTTATGAGTTAACATCACTATTCACGTTGTCGTCGACGTGAAGCCATTCCTACAGAATCCGCTGCAAAACCGACTCGAGCCAAGCGCTTGCACACATTTTGTCTCAAACCGTGATATCGAATTGCTCGGCCGATGAGATCGTGAGATGAGAGTCGCTAAAAGGGGGATTAAAGAGATCTGAGGGCTAAAGGAAGAAGCCCCAAAGATACTAGTAGGTACAAGCTTCTGATAGGTGTGCCATCCCAGCCATAAAAAGCGGAGAGAACATGAGTAGAAAACAATGCAGGGATTTCTGCACCTCCATGCGACATCTCTCGAAGACGGTGACCTCCGGTCTAATGAATCCACTTCCCCATCGGCTGTTTATGACCAGCCCTCATCGAAGGCTTTCCCCTCCATTCGTTAGCTATCCTTAATCGAGGTCCCGAGTCGAGACGTGGTCTCGTAAGTCACCCGAGAGTCCGTGTTTATTGAGGCAATTTGCTTTGCGCTATCAACAATGTTCCTCGAAGGTGTGAGCGACAGGGAGTTTTTCGTACCCAACTGAGAAGTGAGGACAATGGCGCTGTCAATTGCACTACGAAGGTGCCTATTCGTACAGGTGCGCCCTGATATAGACGGGGCATGCCTACTCGAATTCAGGAGAAGATATGAAGGCAAATAAATGCGAGGGGTCGTGAGAAAAGAGAGGTCAAACCCTGGAACCAAAGTGTTCGTATCTGCGAAGAAGAGGAGGAGGTCTCCTCGGCTGTTTAAATGCCATCCATCACCAGAGAGGGAGGATCTCACATCTACATAAATAACTTTACTTTTGATTAACATGTCATGTTCGTGTGTTCAATTCGCCTTCACCAAGTATCCGAAACGTTCCCGGATTAACAGGGGAATTACAGGGTGTAAATTCGGGCCTTTCCGAGAAGTAAATGGAAAATATTTGAAGGACAGACTCCTCATTCTTGAGCGTAAAGGAGAATAATGGATAGGCGGGGTGCGAAATCTTTCAATGGCCGTCATTGTTTCTAATGGCGTTTGCGACTTGCTTGTTCGCACGTTTTCGACGAGTGCAGGGGCGATGAGAACAATACCTAGTGCACTAAACCACCCACAGTACTTTTTACCCCTTTCTTCTCGAATGGAAATTACACGCGACAAAAGCCGTAGAGGTTAGAAGAATGCTGGCCACACTCGGTTATCAAGTACTTCACGATTTGCTCGAATTTCCTGCTGACATTGGGGGAAGCGTCGTGACGATAACGAAGCAGTTCTTCCGCATGAGCCCTTTTATAAGAAGTTCTTGTTCATTTTTTTTCTTTCTTCGCGTCGATGTCAGGGACGAAAGAGACCACCCTCGTTCAGGTCAGAGGTAACCCACGCCGCGAACATTTCTGTCAGCTCTAGACGTGCAAGACCGGACATGGAAGGGAAGTCTCATTAGAGCAAGAGCCAAGAGCTGCCAGCATAGCAAACCGATTATGAAAAAGAAAAGACTCAGTTCACACTGGGAGAAACTGGACTGGCGTGGCGTGTGTGCGAGTGTGCGGCTGTGGAAGTGGAGCTACGGAGGGCGTGGACGCATGCAGTCCCTCTCCGGCTTCAGCCCAATATGCAGCACGTGGTTAGTTAACATGGATGACCGAACCGGGAAAGGTGCCGTGACGTCATGAACTTCTCCAACGTCTTCTTCAGCATCATCGTGTGCCTGTGTCTCACCTCCTCCCTCACAACTTCCTATCAGTGAGTAGCAAAGGAGAAAATTCCCTCCTCCGGTCCCGGTCTGTGTCACTCTCCTCTCATTTGCATCCATTCAATCCCATCATTCATTTTTCTTGTCTTTTTCTTTGAAAGCAAGCAACATGAGAGAGCACGTCCTTCCCCCCCCCCCCCCTTTTCATACAAGTGATCATCTGTTTAGAGGCCATTCATCATCCACCTGCCCCATCATCGTCCACATTATGCCCCCAAGTATGATTCAATGTGGCATATGGAGCGCAATTTTTCTTACTACGTCTTGATGGGAGCGTAGCCGAGGGGCTTCTTCCACCCCGACACGGAAGAGACAAGCCGATATCTTTCTCCCATCCGCATATGCAGTAAATGAACTCCACGCTCCAAAGATTCTCTGGCGAACGCATAGAGCCTATGAAAGAATTCAAGGATGCCTGCATTGCAAGACACTTAATCTCTCTCGTCTTCTCTTTCGACCCGCCTCGCTTCTTACCTTAAATCCGGAGAGAGTGGGATGAGCCTTCAGCTAAAACGTTGACGTGACGGTAACGACGGTAGTGACGGTAGTGACGACGACGATCACACACTGGGTAGGGCATGCCACGAATGAGGTGATGAGCTCGAGATGAGTTAGAGGCGTATGAGCCTCATCTAAGATTTCCCAGAATTTTCTTTCCCTCCGAAAGGTGTTTCTTATTTGCGCATCTCGAGCGCTAAAAGCAGAAATTACCGTTGCTGTTCGCCGATCCTATGTTTACGGAACCATCCCAATGAAAGACGTCCTTCACAGTTCAGCGAGACATCGCCAACTGGAAATATCCCATAATCCGAACAAAGAAGCTTTTTCTTCATCCGTACCTGCTGCTTGGGAAAGAAGAGCAGCTTTCAGTCGGTCACTTAGGGAAAAGTATTGCTCCACGCTTTTTTTTTTTTTTGCAAGCAAGTGGGGGTGGCTGCTTGAGCCAGACGAATGGAGTCGAACGAGGACTCTGGATCATCACGTTAAGGGGGTCAAAAGGGACGAATAATGAGTAGGAATCGGATTTTTATGGTGATGTTCTTGTTGAGTTTCCTTGTCTTGAAAGTTGATGACGTGACAGCGTTTTTCTTCAGGAACAAATTCGCAAAGCCTTATAGTGCTTATTAAAGCACGTTTTAACGTTTTGGAATATATCCAGATTTCAAGGGGAGACGACCAATCTGCATATTACAGCGTGATCATAATTGAGCACGTTTCGCTTAATGCCCCTTTCGTATCGAGCTCCGACGGAGCTCGTGTACCCGTGGGTGGGTCTGGGATGCGAGTCGCCGGGGTCGTGGAGTACCAATTGCATTCCAGATTCCAGCCAGTTAATGCAAGCCAGCGTCGGAATGGATCGAGAAAGGCGAAAGTGACGCCATAATTCCAGTTATTAATAACTCGAATAGCAAACGGAAAATGACGAGAAGACCCAGCTGAGATGTACCTAGTATGGTACCCAGTATGCACCTAGTATGTACCTAATATGTACCTAGTAGCTTCTTACAAAAACGTCCTCGAGCCACTTAGGTGATATGCGCTGGGGGCGGATCTCCTGGCGCTTTCTCTCTACTCTGGACATGAAGGCATAAATTATACATGTCAGCGAGAATCACCGCTGAATCCTTTATCTTTTTTATGGAGTATATTAAAGCTGAATATAACAAGGTGGCATCGCAAATATTCTTGGGGTATTTCAGACATCAAAAATCCTATCCCTACTAATGAGGAACCGGATTACGAGATTCTTCTGGGATTAGCTTTGATCAAGTGGAACAAACTCGTCAGGAATCCGTTTCCTTCCATAGCTCGCCGAAGTCGCGAATTTTTTTTTCCTCCGGCTAGATAATTGGCTTAATGAGCAGGCGAAAGTTTCCACGCTCCATTGCAAAGTGGATGCATTCCATGCTCAATGCGGATTCCGTGCGTGGATGCTGCCCACTCCCTTTTCCATCTCTTTCATCCTATTGTTTAGGAATATACTTGCAGTATACCTGTTAACGAGTATTGATGTCTGAATTGTTTGTGTTCCTGGGGGCTGGCTGATGCCCTTCTTTCACCCGACGAGAAATTTACGCCGTAATGCCCTGCCTAATGAGCCCCAGTCGTGTCGATGGAGCCCAGCGACGAGTAAACACTGCCGCCTTGTTATCGGAGTGGCCAAAAAAGCCCATAACCGGATGCTGCGAAGACGCGTCTCCGACTCTGTTGCAGGACGTTTGACAGGTCCCTGCCTCAGGACCCGACCCGAGCCTGCAGGAGACGAAGGACGATGAAGGGCGAACTCCGCAACATCTGCAAGCATGAGCCTCATTTGATCGCCAAAATGCGGGACGGCGCCATTCAGGCTCACGCGGAGTGCCAGCACCAGTTTCGCTTTCGACGCTGGAACTGCACAGCCACCCGGAAGAGCCTGCGGCGGGTTCTGCAGCGCGGTATGTCCACGATCTCCTCGCGTTTCGAGACTCGGACGAAAACGGTGAATTTTCACGCTGGTACTTGCAGATACGCGAGAGACGGGGTTCGTCCACGCCATTACGTCGGCGGGAGTGACGCACGCCGTCACGAAAGCCTGTACGAACGGCGAGCTCTTGGATTGCACGTGTGACAATTTACAAGGTGAGAGAGAATTGTGGCCCTCATTCTCGATGACACGATATTCCAATGTGTGCATAAACACGGCCGTCTCGAGCAGCGGAGGAATGTTTGTTTCCTCTGGAATTTCCCTTTCCCGGATATTCATTCCTTCATTTCCTTCCCCCAGCCGTCATGAATCCCTTCCATATTTCACGGTACAGTACTCCTCTGTACCGAACTGCGACTCATCCAGTCCTCATAAAAGGTAGGTGGATCCGGGATTCCCTTCATCGACGCACTCCCTCACCTGCTAAGTGTTTGCAGAGAAGCTTAAATAAACGTTGCAGAAGGAAGTCCCCATTTCTGTGGCGTACACTGACGAGGGCAACGGGTTTTTCCTTCGATGTCATATAAATCTCGAACGGTTGCTGCTCGCTCAGTGATATATCATGCATGTACTGGCTTGAGTACTGACATGATGTGTCACATTTTCAGGGTTACTCCCATGTAAGTAGGATTGTCCCGATATCGATATCGACTTGTTTCCGAAGCACCTGCAAAGTGGTTTGGCCTGGTTGCGGAACTCCATGTCAGTGATGCTCACGTGAAAGAACGTCGAAGCCTCTAAAATAAACCTATATTGTGCATAAAATCCCTAAAAAGAAAAATTTTGCAATCCTGCATTTGATAAATGTTTTTTTTTCTGATCAGTCAAAATGGGATTCCCCAAGGGGAACGAGATGGCATGAGGTCAGATGTCCTTTTGCGTCATCCAATGGATGAAGTCATTGCTTAACTTGGAAAGGGAATGATGTCACTCGATAGTTGTCTTTGGCATCTCTTCTTTGGAATCGTGCGAGACAACAAATATGACGATACAGAGTTTCGTCTAGGCTGAAGAAACAAAGACCCTACGCTGTGGAATTTTTAGAGTCGCATGGGAGATACTTGACTTTCTCATGAATGAACTCGAATGAATGACGGACTGTATGTTGCAGACCAGATGACGAATGCCCACTGGCACTGGCATGGATGTAGCGACAACGTCCGCTACGGATACACGAAAGCCAAGCAGTTCATGGATGGCCGCTACCGGCGTCGGAGCGATTCCAAGACCAACGTCAAACTGCATAACTACGAGGCCGGCAGAGTCGTCAGTTTCCTCGCCTTTCTCCTCTGTGACGACACTGCTTTCTCTGTCGAGACGAGCATGCACCCTTTCCCCTACAGAGCATCACCCATAACATGAAGAAGGAGTGCAAATGTCACGGGCTGTCGGGTTCCTGTTCCACGAAGACCTGCTGGATGAGGATGCCCACGCTGAGGGAGGTCGGGAACATGCTGAAGAGGCGCTTCGACGGGGCCGCCAAAGTGATCCCAGCCAACGATGGGACCTCGGTCTTACCCTCCGGTCCCACCATCAAACCCCCGACGACCGAAGACATCATCTACATGGAGGAATCTCCCGACTTCTGCTCGTTCAACGGGAGCACGGGATCGTTGGGCACCGAGGGGAGAGTCTGTCATCGGGGTTCCCCCGATGTCGATGGGTGCGATCTCATGTGTTGCGGACGGGGCTATGCCACCATCATCCAGTGGAAGCGGGAGAACTGTCACTGCGAGTTTCGGTGGTGCTGCGACGTCACGTGCAAGTCCTGCATCAAAGAAGAAGAAATCAATATCTGTAGGTGACTTCGTGAAAGGCGTTTCCGTGAACCGATCCGAAGGGTATTGCCCGCGCTTCAAACCTTCCCCAGCTCATCCTGACATCCGTAACAACTCTACACTCCTTTAAATAACGGAACATTCATCGAAGTAACCAGAAATGAAAACCCCCCTTCTGTCATATTGAAGCTGTATGCATATTCTCGCGTCTTTCTTCGGCTTTGTTCTGTTGGTTTAAGCAGTCTTGGGCAGCTACTAATACACTTCTGTCATATTGGATGTCCAGAAGTCGCTACACAAAGCTAATTGTGAGAATCGGAGTGATCATAACTTGAGTGCATACTTCATGTTAAGATACCCATCTCTGCATTTCGGCACGACACCAACTCCTGTCTTTTTCTATTTCATTTCAATTCAGGCTGGTATTCGAACGGGAAAAAGATTTTGAACGCAAGCCGCACGAATGGTCAGATCGTCATATTGCGAAAGCTGTACGTTTAATATGGCGACATTATGAACACCTTGTAACTTGAAACGCTTATTGGTACGAGTTGAGTGAATTGTGATGCATAGGTTTTCTTTCGGTTTGATTGATGGAATCGGTTCGAAGGGCGTAAACTTTTTCTGTCAAATCCCGGGGAGTGATGATACGAACAAAGTGATTGAATTTTGTACTGAAGAGTAAACAGATGCATTCATCCCTTTTAACCCGCCTTGTTACTCGCGTCGCTCGTTGAAATGCGACCATATTCGAATCCGTGCAGTCGCGGAAAAGAGAAGATATGTTCTGCAAGGCGAAGGTGGCGAACCCTCCGTGCCCGTTGGAGAAAAGAATTGAAGCAACCCGGTTTGAGATGCATGCCATGCAGAGACCACGTGACCTCAGGCCACGTGACCTCTGCATGACGTGCGCATCACTCGGAAACGGAAGGAAGGGGCGATCGGCCCAGAATGGACGACAATCCTCTCTCGATCGGGAAGCGAATCACGGATTCGTTAGCGGGATTCTTGCGCCTGATGGAACGTGTGCACCTGTTTCTGGTTTCTGCTCTGGAGATTTTTTTGTGCCATTGTGTCCATTATCGAAACTCTAGCCTTTCGCAGGGTGGGGGATAGTCGAGGAATGTCTGGAACTGAAACCAAGATGATGACGCCGTGGCATGGTACAAGCCATCCTGAGGAACTTCACCGGGGAATTTCACATCTCTTGATTTAAGGAAAGTTTGTCGCCACTTTATTCAGCAGAGAAAATATTCCTGGAGAAAAATTCTGTAGAGACCTGCAGAAAATGTTTCACCTTCCGAGATATCTTTTTCAAGACAGCAGGAGGATCGTCCAAAATTACATAAACAGAGGCGAGGTAAAAAAAAAAAAAAATTGACCAGAATTTCTTCATTCAGGATAATTGGACCACGGAATAAGTAGTTTGCTAACATGGTTCAGATAGCATCTATTGGTACTTAAAAAAAAAGAACTGGTTGCGTAATACAAAAATGGGACTACTCATCACTAGAAAGGCGCACTTTCTTTTCTTATCGCTCAAACAAGAAAAAAAGGACAAAAAAAAAACAAAAACAAAAGGAAAAAGGGTGAGAGGGTCCATTCTTCTTTTCTCTTTTGGTAACAGTTAGATACATAGTAATAGCTTAGTGAGTTGGCACTATCTCTGTCTATCACTCTTGGCACTATTTTCTTTCCTTCACCTTATGCTCCTACAAGCTTATTTCAATCTATGATTATTTCGATCTATGAATAGGATTCTTAGAACATATATTTCTCTGAGATTACGTTTAAGATTAGCTTAGAGATAATCTACCCACGTGAATGGCTCGCGCTTTGATCTTTGGGCTTCCTGCATACCAATGCCTCCGTATATCTGTAGAACTTTTGTCAATAAACAGGAAAACGAAGTACCCTCTACGAAGATATACACACGTGACATCGAAAGTTTACGTTGGCAAAGACACCCACTTATAACACCAGGCCCACAGACTTTCGTCTGTCGTCACTCCATCGACATGAATACTTTGATGCCTGCAGCCGCAATGCGCAGACTCCCCCCGACTCGTCCCCCTTCCTCTCACTTTCGAGAAAGGCGAAACGAGTGAAACGGCGATCGTCGTCCAGCGACGGGACGGGCGGGGGTCGTCTCTGCTCCACGCGGATTCCAGGTTCCTCGCCTGTGCTGGACTCAATCTGAATCTAAGATTATGCCGACCTTATAGCCGTCATTCGGCACGTTGAAAGATCGCTTCTGGATTAGATTAAGTTTAGCAGAGGCCCCAGGCCCCAGGTGCTGGCTATCGCATTCTGATGCAAGGAGTGGTTAGCCATCATTCCATTCTTCTGGTGTAACGGGATTCTGTTTTCTCGGCTTCTCGGGCACGATCAATCACTAAACAGGTCGTCTCCTGATAGAAGTCATGCAATCCGGGAAAATCCACAGATTTTCCAAGAATCCAAGGACGGCCGTGACAGACTGACGATGCTCGCGGAATCCCAACGCGGACGGAGGGGGAAGACGGCGATTCCGCGAAACTTCCGGCAGGAATGGACGACGCACCCTGACGTTCGCAACAGGGATGCCAGATTTCGGATCGCCTCTCGGGGACTCGCGAAACGGGACGGAATTCCTCTGTTCGTTTCGTCGACTGCTTCCCCGCGAACGTGACTTTCGCGGGTCATTATGCCACGAAAAGAATGGGTGCCTGTAGGGGAGGTTCTTGACCCCCTTTCCAAAATGTGCTATTTCGTGATGTATCAACATATCTCTAACGTTGAAAGCCAGGAAAGAGGGGTCCTTATGTCAGTTATGCAAAAATGCACCACTCTGTTTTGTTTAGTCTCGAAACTCTTCCGTCATTACTCATCATGCTAATAGTGACGGTATTCATGGCCCACACCAACCATAATTCACAAAATCGGAAGTTGGCACCATTATAGTGATATACCTGTATATTATACCTGTAATATATTTTAACATTTGGAGATTCCTTTGTTTCAACTAGAAAGTATGAGAAGAGGGATAAGCAAAAACTTAGAAAGCTTTACATAGTTGGACAGAGCCAGGAGAACGCTACTTCCCGGCATAATTGTGTTTAATTAAGAACTTAGATCAAACTAATAAACATAATTTAAATACATCATTTTCCCCTGAGCTTCAAAAAATGCTGGAAAATCTGCAGGCAGAAACTAGGTTTCCTTATAAGCAAATATACCGGGTGAGGCAAAAAAAAAAGCCGCGCCCCTATTTGACAATCGTCGGAGTTCGTGAGATAGCAGATGGCACAGCAAAGTTTTTTCATGCAACGACTTCTACGCATCCTTTAAAGGCCCTAAAATTATTTTTCATTCTTCTCCAGCTATTTTAGCACACGAACGATTGCGCAAAATAACTGGAGTTTTGTTTTTGCCCTCGGAAACGTGTGGGCTGCAGAGTGGTTCATAGATCCTCCGTCTTTCCACGAAAACGATGCTCTTCGCGAAATTATGCAATTAGAATTATGCTATCATATCCTGGTAAGAGACGAAAGAAACGTGTGCGGAAGACTAAAACGAGGCAGAACGGAAGGAAACCGCCGTTGTTTCTCGCGAAGATCATTCCTTGGAAGCAAAACTCCCGTCTGAAAATTGCGAAGTAAGAGGCGGCGGATTTTTTTTTTTAAGTGCAAAGAAAAAAAAACATGTTGGAAAGAATTTCCAGCGGAGCAGGTCCTCTCAGAGGTCCTCCCGTCGCCGTCCAGGTGCAAACACAGAAATTCCAATTGCTTCTGTAAAATCCCTCCTGTGCTAAAAACGGCTAGAGCTGAACAAGCCAAAATTGTAGGATTTTCAAAGGGCGGAGAGACGTACGTACGAAAGCAACTTCGTTGTGCTAGCTTCCGTTCCACAAACGTTCAAAGAGCGGCGCGTTTTTTTTTTTTTTTTTTTTTTTTTTTTCCTTTTTTTTTATTGTNGTTCCACAAACGTTCAAAGGGCGGGGCGTTTTTTTTTTTTTTTTTTTTTTTTTCCTCACCTGTATATGAATCGTTAGGGTTAATAATACATTCCTACATATAAAAAATGAAGACGTTCGGCAGAAAGCAGAACACTTTCTGCATAACAATGGTACGCCTCGCGTCTTCATTTTTATTGTTATAGAGATGAGCTATCTACCCTAATATATGTGCATATTTTTATTTCTGAGAGCACAGACTTTCTGCCTGTAATTTTTCTCGAGTTCTTTGAGTCCGTGGAAGAAAAAAAGTTTTATTCATTTAGAGCTAATGACACTTAATTAATTAATTGCACCTAATTAACTAAGCTGGAAAATACAGTTCTTTTAGTTCCATCGAACCATGCATAGCTCCATAAAGATTTACTCATCCCGTTTATTATTCTCGAATGTTGCGATCATTAGTATATAAGAAATATGTGCAGGGAGAAGGCAAAAAGTTGCAGTACCACTTGAGCTCCATCTGGTACCAAGTTGTAAGTCGGCAAAGTAAAAGAGATGCCTTGAAAGTTTTTTTCCATAAAAAAAAAATTAGCGGTACCAGATGGCGCAGCATCTGAAACAATCATGCAAAAACCCTTCTAAAAAGAAGAAACCTCTAAAAAAAAAAAAAAGTGGGATTTTAGAAAGAATTACTGCATGCCCCCTAGAAGCACCTTCAAGGTTGAGAGCCTCTGAACTTGTCGTTCGATTTTTGAAGACTATGTATGTGGCGTGTCATCTCCCAGAAACTTTTTTTAAACTTGCCCTTCTATTTTTTCCTTTGTTTCTCCGATATCGGGGTCGACTCCCCACCCTTATGGCGTACATCCTTTACTATAATTCTTTAACCAATCACAGCGGAATTTGGCGTATTAGCGCAGAATGCGTAACTCATTACGCCGAGGTACCAAGAGTGGAAAAGGCAAGGTTAGCGAGCCTATATATTGCAATGGGGAGAGCGATGACATGCCTCTGTTTTTTTCTTCTAACCCCCCCCCCCCCCCAAATAACTCGGCTGACATTGAGAACGAAATGCGGACGATGGTGAAACGGGGAGCAAGGGAATTCAATCCAAATATTTTTTCGGTCAGGTGTGTTGCTTGCGACAACTCGTTCTCCACGCCAGTATAGTCAGTATCCTGAATGCCTTGTGCAGCGGCATTGCCTGCTCGCCGGAGGACCGCCATAAAAGGAATTGGCACTTGTCGACTGAGTCGATAGAAGACTCCAAAAATGAAATTTCAAGGATAGAGGGATGTGAGGGCAGGCCATAAAGCATTTGTCAAACAAAAATTCCCCTCCAACATTATTGGTCTCATTTATCATCATCGGCAGTGACACTCGTCATACGAACCTCATTACCCTTTGACTCTTTGAGAGTCCCCCGCGTGCACAAGGATTCAGGATATCGACTATACCAGATTGCGATCGACCTGTTGCATTCCTCCAACCGAGGTGTCGACGTCCGTTAGTCGGTGTCGGTCGTTCTCGTCGTTTTCAAGTTCCGAGGAGCGAAGTAGAAGGCATGAAGCAAATAGAAGGCATGAAATATTTCATGCCCTCTATTTCGATTCGGTTGTTGACTCGGATTTGTACCGCTGAGCTGATCGAGCCTCACTTTTGTTATCCCTTCTTCTCAATGTCGCAAGATCCAGAACAAGGCGGGATCCGCTTGCGATGATATATGGCTTTCGAAAGCCGTCCTTCGGCCTACAGGTTTGCCTCGTGACAGTGAAAGCACAGCAGATGGACTTCCTTCAAAATAATCAGACTTTATTACATGCCTCATTCATTGCATCCACTCGTCCAACGAAATGAAAAAAAAAAGTCACAGCCTCGAGAGTCATTTATGCCCTGCTTGAGAAAGACTCTGAAACCAGAGTGACAACTCTTCCGAGCACTTGTACTGTACTGTACACAACAAAAACAAAAACTCAGTCACGCATGCAAAGCACACACTTTCGACCTTTTCAACGCGAAACTGCCAAGACACACTGAGAAAAATGTCTTATCACAATCGATGGCCACTGGGGGCTTCGCAATGTGGACAGCAAAGTCTTCTCTCGTGAAGAACAAGCAATCCACGTAAAGATCTTTCCTTCGATCATAGCAGAAATGGCAAGCCTTCGTGGTGTTGCCACTGAACAGGACGGATTCATAAAGTACCTGGCACTTCCATTGCCTGCACTGTCGCCGAACACTATTTCTAAATCATTTTTCCAGTATGTGACATTAAATCCAAACTCTCATGATATATTATGTGAATTTTGTTCGCACCCTCTCTTCCAAAAATTCACATGAAAAAAATTGCAGAAAATAGGTGTCCGGGGAAGGGCAAGTCATTTCAGCAGTGGCTAATGCCTCCTTTCCGAATAACGCAAAAAAATATGATACAAGGAAAAGAGGGAGGCCCTCCGAGTAAGCGTCTTGAAGAAGTAAGCGTGAGAGAGGAGAGCATCTCTCGTGGAAAAAGAGTCAATAAAATCACTCGAGGAATGGAGAAGGTATAGAGACCTTACATTGCCCAAGGAATCTGACTAGCATCGCAGCAGGTTTCCATCTTCACTGGGGATGACTGTGCCCCTGGCCTAACGAGTGTCAGAGACAAGTGTGCACGGTCCTCAACGTCCGGCAAACCTGGCATTCCACGTCACAGCACCAGCGGAAGGTGCAGTTGCACCGCTCCTTCTCCTCCATGATCGTGGATTTGAACCCCCGGCCGCAGCACATCAACTCGCAGCCGTCCATGCCGAACGAGGTGGCATTGCAGTTCCGACCGCGGGTCCCTGGGATGGCCAGGCGTTTGTTTTTGTCACAAAAGTTCGGGCTTGCCTCGTAATAGACCAAATCCTTCTTTCCGGGAGGCTTGTGACTCGGGTCGTAGCTCTGGAGCCGGAAATTGTACTTGCCCCCTCCACCTCGCCGCCTTCTCATGTGGGCCCTCATATTTCCTGCGTTCGATGCCAGGATTCTGGAGGCTCCATCGAACCTTTCTCGAAGATTGTCACCCACTTTCCTGAAACTGGGAAGCCTCATCCAGCAAGTCTTCACGGTGCAAGATCCGGACATCCCGTGGCACTTGCATTCCTGTTGCATTTCTGAGGACACGTGCTAAAATAGGAAAAAGTAACAGCAACTGGGGTCAAAATATGTCATTCAGGAAAGCAGAGAAAGGATGGCGACACAAATAGTTTCAAAGTCACATTCAGCGTTTCTTGTTCTTCCCATATGTGATATGGAGGGAATGAGTCGCCATATTTCGCATCTAAAGTTACAGTCATAAAGATACTGAACCAATTTGTTTTACCCCAGTGACTGTTGCGGGAAGCAGTTTGATTATGAACATGAGAAGTTAAGAATGGTTTTCAAAATGCTTTAATATTTTCTTTTGTATTCCTCAGGGCTCCTAAGAAAAAGAAAGGAGACAGTGGATTGAAGGTCTGCTTCAGTTTTCGGCTTCTACGGAGCGCTATTCATTTTGTCTTGGGCGATTAACGAAGTAGCAAACGAAAGAAAGGACGGATTCTCGGTGGAAGAATTGAAAATATTTTCATTTAATGCATAACTTCAGGTAGAACTTCTCCCTTCTTCTCCCAGTTTAAATGAAACATGGTCATCGGATTTCGTGGAAATGCCATGACATCACCGACCTAGCAAGTCAGAGAGTGCGTGTGCTCTCGTCCTACGTAGCCCCATTTCCTGGAAAGTTTGAGGCATGTGAAGAGAAGAATCAGGATCGCAGCGAACCAGGAAGATATTACTGTACAAAGACCTGATCGAAGACGGAAAGGCCACCTCGAGGCCTGCTTGGTCAAGGGAACAGGACTACAAATCATGTGGTTCTTGCCAGAAGTGGGAGAGTTGGAATGAAAATGAAGGAGACAGCACCATAAATCATGAGAAGGGGGACATATGCAAGGAATGTCACGTGGAGCTGTGAAAATCTGAAGCTGCCCAGGCATGCGATATAGGGACCAGAAGCTAATCTACGAGACCTCTTCACACATGTCCTTCTACGGGATTCCTCCTAGTTTCCCAGCGGTCATGGAGAGGCATTGCTGAGATATTTCAGATGGGAGCCCTCTCGGTCTCCCACGCATCATCAATGACCAGTTCCCTTCCCATCCCATCCCTCCCCTTGTCTTGACTCGTCTTGTCTTGCCCTTCTATCGCTGGAATTAATTATACTGACCCCGCAGCACATTGCTGATTAGATTTCGCATTCCTTGGGGACCCTGTACCACAACTTGTCAGCGATCGCTAGATCATTATCGCTACCGTAGGCCGTAACGGCCCCCCACCCCTCCCCTCATTGGAGAATTATCCTGCAAATAAGGAAGACATTCCTTGGGACTCCCTAACATCGATAACAGAAAACCAACTTTACATGAGCCTATTAAGAGACCGGAGACCGAAAGAAGTAAAAGGAAAGAGGGGAAGGCTTTGCGATGAGGGAAGATCAGGAACAATAGCCTACCCTTATGTGTGTGGGGCCTAGAGACCCGAGCTTATGCTCAGTGAGGGGAAGAGAGAGAGAAAGAGGAGAGCGGGAGAGAGACCTCCAGTCATTTACCTGCTTCTCATTAATAATGGCAGGTGAGGTGGGCAAGCATTCCATTTCACTTATTAGAAGTTATAGATCTTTGGGTCGGGCGGCGGGCGCATTATGGTGGTCCCGAGACCTCATCTCGCCCCAGGCGCCGATGAAAACATCCCAACTTCAACTCATAATTGTGCTCAACTATGCAAAAGAGGCAGGAAGCCACGCCATTACTCACAGCCGCCCAGACGTTCTATGGAAAGCTTTTCGCATAAATGAAGCTGTCCTTCGCTCGCCCGAGAGTCCGGTCGGTCGTCGTGCCTTCATATGCATCCCGAAATGAATGAGGCTTCCCCCTCCCGACAGTTGGAATCGGGGACCCAAAACATCAAGAATGACGAACCAAGAATGGAGACGTAATGGAGGGTGGAAGACCCTTCAAGGAACAAAGGAGCTCCATCACGGTCGATATCTGTTAATACAGACTTCGGAATGAGGGGGTCCCACGCATGGGATACCATTTGCGGGACTTCCCTTTATGAAGATATGCCTCCAGGGTTTTCAGAGCCATCAGCATAGCTGAACAGCCATTTTGTAATCTATTTTATAGCTTTATTTATGGAATATCTTTGTGTTGTTTTAAGGAGGGCATGGATCCTTGGCCCACACCAGGAAGACGTTGGTGGTCAAATCGAGCTCCCGATTTGTGCGTGAACGAACAGGACGGGGAAGGCGAGGAAGAAAAAACAACCGTGCTGAAAAGGGAAGAGAGGAAAGAAGGGGCCTTCGCTGGCAAAGACATGCATCTCTGTCAGAGAGGTTATTTTTATCAATTTCTACGGTTCTCACTCTCCGCAACGCCTCTGGTGGTCAGCCTGGCGCAGCACCTGTCTCAGGAACGCCGATTTCATTTTCAACGTGTTGAGGGTGCCGGTAATTGCAGTTTTATCAACACTTAAGTGAGGGGTTTTCCCCTCGCACTATTTCTCATTAGTGTCGGAAGGATTCTGGCTCATCATCGAGTAATCATGAGCCAATACAGAATGCCAAAATTACAGTTTCTCGTGTTTTAATGGGGATCCTTTTGCCAGCGGGGGTCCACACTCCAGCCGGGAGAGAGAAAAATATAGACATCATGGTGTGTTCTTTCGCCCCAAGCTGTCCGGGCATAAATTGTGCTTCGGCCTGACCATTCAACGTCGGGAGATCCCTGGTCCGCTCGGGTCGGTTACTGGGATTTATGGACTGCAAGAATGCCTTGTGATCCACCATAATAAGCACTTCCCTTTGTCATCACTGTTGATAGAGATGTTCCCGGCCACCCGTGCAAAAGAATGAATGAAAGGCTGCACGATGGACCATTCGGCGCTTAATCTCTCCCGATTGTATTTGGGTATTTGGGTCAAGAACAAGGGCAGGGAAGAATCGGTCGGGATCGGCATGCTCTGTTGATGGCAAGACAAAAGGGGCCCCGACTTGTGTATAAAAAAAAAACTGCAATACGCGGCTGCTCTCTGTGTGCGTATTTGCCCGCCCACCTTCCTCTTTGGCTCTTGTGTCACTCATACCTTTCCACCAGCCTGTGACATCCTGGCCTCAACCCCCTCTACCGCACGCAATGAATCCGCCTGCTTTTAGAAGCCCATAAACAGAGGAGAGACAGAGGGAGAAAGGGGGGGGGAGGGATGTAATTGCACACAGGTGCATGGTATGTAGCACACTTACCAACCTCCCGGCGTCATTGTTGTGGATGTTCATCATGGCCCGAAGATCCCTGCCCTTTTCGCCGGCATCCACGAAGAGCCGCGAGAATTTGTCACCGAACTGTATGTTGTCGGAGCAGCCTCCCCATTCCCAGTCCAATCCCGGCGGACTTCTCTGTAGGGCGAAAAAAGAGAAATGGCATCGGTCATCCATGCGTCCCTCAGAATCCCACGAATGCGTCGATGCGAGACAGCCAACAAGTCACTTACCCTTCTGTAGTCGCAGGTGCACGTTTTGATGTGACCTGCACTGCAAGCTCGAGCCACGGAGTGGGTCACCCCGGCAGAGGTGATGGCGTACACGAAGGCAGTCTCCCTGCAGCCTGGAACAAAAAAAAAAATTAGGTTCTTGAGAAGGGCAGGCCCAGAGGATCGAGGAAGTTTGCATCCAGTAAAAGCTTCTCTTGCAAGTACGTTCTCAGACAGTCCGGAAGATTGCGAGATGCAAGAGGATCCCCCGATTTTTAACGGAGCAGGGCTGCTTTCACTTAAGTCGTTGTCCACACCCGCAACGTCGCATGCAAGGCCTTAGAAGCAAATCCAGCAGGCAAACACTCAACTTCATTGTTTGGGTTATGCGTAATTTTTGCCTATCGGCAAGATCTCCTGCATCCCTTCTCGGAAAAAAAGAAACGTTTTCCCGCACGGTGAGTCTTCGGATATTCCGCGGATCGGATGCGTATCTACGGAGACTGCATACACGGTCTGCCGTCTGTTGACGAAAGAGGCACTCTGTGTCGTCGTGTTTACCCGGCCTGCTACGAGGGAAGACCAGCTCGTGCTGGCGGCATTCCGCGGAAAATTCCCCTCGGTAAAACAATGACGAGTCAAATGATCCTCTGTTGAAACAGTGACCGAAAAAGCTAAAGAAGAAACACGGTGGAAACGTTTGTTGCGGATTCTTCGAGGTTCGGGTTTCCTCCGACGACTCTCGAGGGACTCGAAAACAAACCTCGAGAAATGAGTAAAAAGTCGAAGGGTGGGCCGTACGCGATCCCGGCAAATGGCCGTGAAAAGGACGCATCGATTCGGCTCGGAGCGTGAGAAAGTCCAGGGTTCGGCATTTAGCGAGTGGCCGTCATATACGGCGGGAATGGATCCATAAAAAAAAACACGTCGTGGGGCCTCCGGATACCAGATTTCTTACCCTCATTGTCGGCCGCGGCGAGTGCTATTAACGGCTCGGAGAAGTAAATACAATGAATTTGAGCGGGAAGAATGGGGGGGTAAGGGGGAGGGGGGCAAGGGGGGCGGGGGGGGGGGGGGGGGGGGGGCCCCCCCCACGGGGTGGGGGGGGGGGGGGGGGGGGGGGGGGGGGGGGGGAGGCATCCTCATCGCGGGCCGCGCATCGTGCACCGTGGACCCAGCAGGGTGCCACCCGTGGTGCCACCCGCACTCTAATTATCATGACTCTTCCAGTCGTAAAAAATAAACTCGTCGATGCCGGCTCCGGCTCCGCCGATAATCATTGTCATAATATTGATATCCAGATAATACCCGCCTTTGACTTCATCCGGAAACCGACTCGGGGGATCTCAACAATTTCGCGCGCTGTGCAAGGGTCATCATGTCGTTTTAATAGTGTTTCTGGTCAAAACTCGATTTTATAATCATAATTTTATGTTCAAAACTCCCTTTTCTTGTCTAAATTCCATCGGTGTCGAACAGATGTGAGCCTAAGCTTCATAGATGCGTTGACTGCAAGTGCATGCCCGCGCTGGGCTCGATTGCGCTGCGAAGTTGGCTACGCATGTATCATGGATGTTTCATCTCTAATTTAAACCCCGAAGGCCAGTGCGGCCTAAATAGCGAAAGAAAGCATAGCGAAATTTTTATTTTCTTGCTCAACATCGAGCGCTGAACTCATCGTAATGATCATCGTGGAGGGTCGAGACGAGGCAAAGAGAGGAGTCAAAAAGACCGTGAGAACGCGAATATGCCGAGAGAAAACACGACAGAACACGACAGGGTCTCGACCGGCCGAAAACGTAGGAACCGTGCACGGGCTGCAGAAGCCACTGCCGAATGCGGAGGTCAAAGGAGACCCACGCGGATCCTCGGGGCTGAATGCCTCTGCTTCTCGCTAATTAAAAGTCGTCGGCGGACGAGTGGCGCGTCTCATCTTCGGGTTTTCTGTGCCGGTTTCGATCCTGTCGTGGTTTTGTGTCGGCTCGCCCTGCAAGACGCGGGAGCCGGCCGGAATTCACGCCCGGGTTCGAAAGTAAAAGCTGCTGGATTTCTCAAAGAGATCCAGCCGGATTTTTCCGCATCGAAACAACCTTGACGGCGTCAACAGCATCGTGACCGGTCGCCAGGGAGACAGGGCGCATCGTTTGTCATCGTCTTTCGCGTCGCAGATGCGAGTGAACAAATAATATTTAAAAAAGCAGCCTCTCCGGGGAGAAACCGATCGGGTACCTTTGTCGACGATCTTCCCGAACAGGTACTTCCCCCGCAAGTTGATGAAGGTGGGGCAATCCCACCGCCTGTCTCGAAACTGGTGCTTGCACTCGCTGACGGCCGTCTTGGCACCCTTGGCGACGGCCATCAGCACTCCCGGGTTCTCGTCCATGAGGCGGCGCTGCCTTCGCCTCAGGGTCGCGTAGACGGCGGGCTCCAGGAAGCCTCTTTGCAGCGCGTGGACTCGAAGGGAGTTCGACAGCTCTCCTGCTTTGGCCACGTTGGCGATTCCCCTGTAATGAAATAAAAAAAGAAAATGACGTGCTTTGTTTTTTACTTTCCGCCTTTGCCATTAGAGCGTTTTGTGGGTGGTTGCGTTTTTTTGAATATGACTTTCCGATACGACTTCGGTAAAATGAGCTATTTCTGTTCCTTCGTGTAGGATTTCGGGATCGATTGCCCATAATATTCCTTCAAGGTCGAAATTCCAAGCCTAATTTTATAACCTTCGTTAATATTCCATCAGCTCTCGGGTTTTTCTCGTAGTACTCATTTACGGGGAAGCTATTATTGCATTAATCTCACTAAAAAGATGCGGTCTTCATTATGGAAGGCAGGCCCTTATGGCCGTCTTCCGAAGAGGCTTCGGGGCATAAATATTGATTGCTTTGCCACTCTTCTCGGAACGCGAAGGCACCGGTTCCCTTCGAGAAGAAGAAACGAAAGATTCGAGACAGAGGAGAGAGAGAGGAATTCGCACGTTCGTGCGAGGAACGGAAGTCTATCATACGTAATGGCGCACCAGCGTTCTTCTCGAGGGATGACAATCGAATTTACATTTTACGATATCAAAAAATTCCTGGGGGCCGCGAGGCGTTGGAGGAGGGTAGGGTCGCGGGAGAGCCCCAAGGCGAGGGGGCCCACTCCATGCATTAGTGACAATGCGATTCCATTCTCGGAATGGGGACGAGAGAAGAGAGAGAGAAAGAGAGAGAGAAGAGAGAGAAGATCTTCGTCGTGGAATGTCAGTCATCTCGAAATAATCGTGCAGGTGGTGTTATGCGAATATATTCTAGGATCTGAATCTGTCCGCGAGCTCTATGGGAGTGTTTCTAACCCTAATGGACAGACTCGAAGGTCGTCGCTTGGAAACTGGCTCAACGATATGCGGCTCGGGGCCTTTTCGCTCTCGGTCCCTCTATCTCGGGGCTTCTTCGATGGCGATCAGACGGATCAAGCTTTTTTTCCCACACACTTTTTCGTGCATTCCGGAAGTCCTTTCCCCTTGGGGGACTTTGTATTATAGAGAATAACTTGGCTGAGAGATTGAACAGAAAAATTTTCAACTCAATTCTTGCGACTCGAACTGGGAGAAAAGGTCGAAAATGTCGGAGGAAAAACCGAGCAGGAAAGTTGACAAAAAAAATTGACAGCTTCCAATTTTTGGGAAGTTATCGTTTGCCGTTTCCACTCATTAATCTGATGCATTTTGCGACGCTCTGCAAAATGTCTCAAATCAAACAGCTGAGATTCAAACAGCTTAAAAGTGAACTAGTATTTCTGGAAATTTTATTTTTTCCAAATCTTCAGCTTCAAAATTTCATGGCTTACATTATATAAGCAAGCTATTTGATCTGAAAGCTTGCAGTGTGCGAAACATTAGCATGGCAAAACAGAACAAAACTCGATTTTCGAAGTCGGCCCCTTTTAGCTGCTTTTCTGTATGAAGTCGCCGCATTGTGGACGATAAGAAGCGACACCAAACGATCGGCGGAAGCTGGAAATAAAAGGTGAGGATGGGCATCTGGCCACGATAGCTCGCGAATTCGCAGCACTCCTATTCCGTGATCTGGCTGACATCCTCATCCCACGAGGGATGGACGCGGCTGACATCCTCATCCCGGGATGAGGATGGACGACGCGCCCGCCGAACGAGGCGGGGGGGTGGGAAAGTTGGGGGGGGGGGGGGGGGGGGGGGGGGGGGGGNGGGGGGGGGGGGGGGGGGGGGGGGGGGGGGGGGGGGGGGGGGGGGGGGGGGGCCGGGGCAGATTTTGCACATGGACCGTATGACCACGCCGAAAATACCCATGAGTGATGCGCTGCATGGCACCTCGCCCGTTTCCCGTCAGTCTTGCATGTTTCGGGATAAACTATCCGTCGTCTACGGACAGCTCTTCAAGGACGGGGGAGGACGGCCCGCCACTTTCCGCCGTTTTTCGTGCAGCGTTCGTGATGCCGGGCGAAGTGCGGATGGATTCGAATCGCGCGCGCAAAAAAAACGGAAGCCTGCAGAAATGTCAGAAAATTCGCCATGGCCATCGACGCGTCTTCACGATTTATTTTTCCTGGATGGAAGCCTCGTCGTTCCTCATCGCTTCGTCCGTCGTCCCGAGGTTTAACCACGGGTCAAACCGGGTCAAGCCGGGTCAAGCCGGGTCGACGAAAGAGGCGAACGAGAGAGGCGAACTTCCGTGACGGCCTTGTCCGAGGTGAGGAGTCGCGAGATGCTTCCCGGTGCCAAAGACAGCAAGGCCGTATTTACATTTTTTCTCGCCTTTTCCGAAATGGCAAAACCTATACGAACTCCGATGTGGCTCCGTGCCCTGAAATGTAACACGCCGGAATATAACATCGGAAACCCTCAGAGATGCATTGGAATCCGATTGCGGCTTCATCTTTCTCTTCACGTTTCGAAGAAATTCACTGGTCCATTCGGTGTTAAGGGACATTGAAATATGACTGCAGGAATTCGGCTAGTTTTTCTTTTTGTCATTTCAGAAAGGTAATAAAAAATATCGTTGCAATTTGGGAATGCCGGAGAATAAAAATGCTGGCTAAAAAGAAAAAATCAATTTTTCCGTGCGAACATTTGATCAGAATCGATCGCGACCATGTCTGCAGGTGAAGTTGCATTCGCGAGTTGCAAAAAAAAAGAAGCAAAAGTATTTGGAAGTTTTGCAAGATCGATCGACGTCTGTCGGCACTCTACTCTCACAGTACCCGTTTCAGTACTTGAAAAAAAAAGAGGGGGGAAAAAAGGTCGTAATTGGTTCTACGAAGACGAATGCTCGCGAAACTTGTTATTCACGTCTCCGTCGACCACAGAGGGTCAAACGTCAGATTTGCGCGGGATCGTGCGACAAATTGGCCGTTCCGCGGTGCCGTGCGTGTTCGATGGACGCGGCGCGCGAGGTCTTCCGAGCGAAATTCGAATCTCGCTCCGACTCGGTGGGTCGATGCGAGAATTATCGGGAGAAATCGAATTATCTATTAAAAGATTTTCGATCGGTCTCGGGAAAGCTTTTTTTTTTTTAGTATGTGCCGATCGTGCAGTACTGCATCATTGCGATGGAGAAATTCCTGGGAAAATTTTACGACCGATGAAACATCGGACTCAGAATGGCTACACGATTCGCGTCTTCGACGTTCGTGACCGAAAGGAAAAAAAAAAAAAAAAAAAAGATCGGCGAGGGATCGCTCTCACGTCGGATTTCGCAAGGGAAAACGGATTCGGTCCCGGTTTTTTGAATGGCGAGTTCGACGATTCGCGATCGACTTCAAACTGAGCCTGAGATTTGGTTTCGGTCTTTGGGACGTTTATCGAGTAGCGCCTGGGCGTGAGGACGTGTGGAAATGTGCCGATTGGCACTCAGAAAAAAAAAGAGGAATCTGATGGACTTATGTTAGACTCACCACCACTTGCTGCCCCTTCCACGACCCTTTGCCTGAAGAGTCAAGGCGAGGTAGCCAAAGTAGAGAAGCAGCGGCCGGATATCCATGCGATCCGAAACACGGGTAAAACGCGAACGACGACGGAACGAACAGACGGAGGAGGAGGAGAGAGAGAGACGAATAGGTCACGGATAGGTCATGTCAACGGACGGAGTTTGTCGTATAACTGAGTCTGCCTTTGGGGGGGCCTCCCGTGTGCCGAGGCGGAGTCCCGGGCCTAAACACAGATGGAGGGAGTGGGCTCCAAGGAATAGCTCCACCTTTCCCCTCTCATTATTGGACCAGGTGAGGGAGAGGGCGTGACTTCCACGTTATCCGCATGGAAACACTCAGAAATTTCATGAATGTCATTTCCACGGATTGTTTCCAGGCTCCACGTCATGTGTTCTCTCGACGTCGTTACGGTGGGCAAGACGAGGGGAGAGGAAGAAAAACTTCACCTGCCAGGAATGCTACCGACTGGTCGTCATTATTTCATCCTGAAAGGCACTAGAGCCTTCCGGCAGGCCATATATTACGCATTGTCATGCGGTCGAAATTGAGAGATGGAGAGGGGGCACAAATTCCTTTTGTCCGGGCGCAAAGACTCTCAAGGCGAACGTTCCTAATGCACGGCAGGTAGAAAGGGAGAAAGAAAGAAATTACGTGGAAGTCTGGTGTGTGGCCTGTGGCGTTGGAGACCCAACCTAATTGCTGTGGGAACGAAGAACATTTCAATCACGTCGAGGGTCTTCCCGATCCTAATGAATGGATGTTTGACGTGTGAAGTATCCCATCATTAGCATCTCGAATGGGCACTGGCCTCGCCTTTGTTGCGAAGGTCCCATCTGGAACGGTCATCGGGAGACCTCGACCCGTCCGGGTTCCTCCGATGCCGGCATTTATATGCCTGATTCCTATCTGGCTTCGGATTCGATGCTATCGGCATTTCCTCCGAGACGCTCATCTTGAAAGGGTGCGAAATGATTACTTCCGTTCCCGGCCGCTCGGAAGCGGCGGGCCGATACAGGTGTCTATGGCCGAAACTGGCTCCCCTCCCAGTCTTCTAGGTGCCAGGCACCTAATTTCTGGAATCCCATTAGCACCGAGGAGATGAAAGGAGGCTTCGGGGCTCCGTTGATTGTCCATTTCCTGGTCCTATTAGCAGTGTTCCAAGAAGAATGAGGACGCGTTCATCATGGCTGCTTCTCTCTCTGCACGTCGAAGATACTGCGTCTTTTGGTCTTCCCTGCCTCGTCCCATTATATTGTATAGCCCCTATTAGTATTTACACATGGGCTCGGTTCCCCCCAAACATGCGTCTTTGTCGGAGTGAGATCTTTGGGTCCCAGCAGGGAATCTTAGCGTGGGGTCTTCGCTCACCTTCTCAACACCTCCGAGAACCTCTGGACGCAAACCATTGCTTACGATCCGGCAGGGGGAAAAAAAAGCCATGTTCGGCGCGTGTGGTCGTCCTCATCTGACCCCCTTTTACCTTTTCCTTTTTCCCCCTTTTCTTTTTCATCTTGACGTGCTCCTTCGATTCAAGGTCGATGCAATTCCGAGCAGGCCCGTCGAAGGTCAGTTCATGACGGGTACGAGCGCACCTCTCGTGGCGTGACGATCAAGTCTCGTGACGAGGAGACCGTTGTGGAAGGAAGATAGGAGGCACAGTTCGGAGGGCATTACCGCATTCTCTCTCCCTTCCCTCTCAAGATTAAGAAGTGTGGTCATCCGTCAGCTCATTTCCTTTCAATTCTTTGTTTGGGATAATGAGAGAGAGAGAGAGAGAGAGAGAGGGGAGCGGTTGAACCTCACAAGAAGGGAGACGGGGGGGTTAGAAGAAGAGAAGAAGAAACCGCAATGAGTTAACCAAATCCCTCCATCCCTCGGCTGTTATTAGTGTTCACTCAAGGGACAACATGCATATATCATGGTAGGCTGGCTAGAAAAAGCTCCCCTCCGGCCAATTGTCAGGTGCATGGGGGGTCGGAAGCCCCGTTAATTGCCCCTTAACCTGCTCTCCTTGCCCGCGAAAGTGTGAAAATGTTTAATGGTGGACGATAGCCCCGATCCTCGGAGTGTTTTCAGAGCCCAGAGCCCCCACGTGGGGATACACGCCACGTATGAACTCCCCCGTGACATAATCATAACAGATCGCCTGCACGCTACGTGAAAGGTGATGCCCGAGATAATAGAGGCGGCCAGTTAATGCCCC